GCATCAACCAGGGCACCTCCGGCAACATCTCCGCCCGTATCGAGGGCGGCTTCCTGATCACGCCCTCCGGCATCCCCTACGAGAAGATGAAGCCCGAGCAGATCGTCGAGATGGACCTTGGCGGCGGCTACTTCGGCGACTATCTGCCGTCGAGCGAATGGCGGATGCACTACGACATCTACCTGAACAAGCCGGAAGCGGGGGCGGTGGTGCACACCCATTCGATCTACTGCACGGCGCTGGCCTCACTGCAGGAGCGCATTCCGGCCTTCCACTACATGATCGGGGTCGCCGGCGGCACCAACATCCGCTGCGCCGACTATGCGACCTTCGGCACCCAGGAGCTTTCGGGCAACATGCTGAAGGCGCTTCAGGGGCGCTCGGCCTGCCTGCTGGCGAACCACGGGATGATCTGCTTCGCCAAGGACCTCGACAAGACGTTGTGGTTGGCGGGCGAGGTGGAAACCCTGGCCCAGCAGTATTGGATCGCGCGCCAGATGGGCAAGCCGAACATCCTGAACAAGCGCGAGATGACCAACGTCCTGGCGCGCTTCAAGAGCTACGGCAAGCAGAGCAAGGATCTCGCCAAGGGCGAAGCCCTGGCCGTCGAACCCCCGCCGCGCCGCGACGCCCCAAAAGCCGCCAACGGCACCGCCAGACGCGGCGCCAAGAAATCTGCCGGCAGGGCCAAGGCGGCGCGCAAGCCCGGGAAGCGGGCGGCCAAGACCTCCAGGTCGGCACGAGAACCAGCGGCATGATCACTGTCTTCGGCTCCCTGAGTGCCGACCTTGTCACCCAGGTGAAACACCTGCCGGCACCGGGAGAGACGGTGACCGGGCCGGCTTACACCGTGGTGCCTGGGGGCAAGGGGGCCAACCAGGCGCTGGCCGCGGCCCTGGCCGGTGCACCGGTGCGCTTTATCGGCTCGGTCGGCAACGACGGCTTCCGCGATCTTGCGCTTTCCGGTATGCGCGCGGGCGGCGTCGACCTCAGCCTGGTTGCCGAAAGCCCGGAGCAGACCGCCTGCGCCTTCATCGCCGTCGATGCCGCCGGCGAGAACCTTATCTTCGTCGCCAGTGGCGCCAACCTGGACAGCAGGGCCGCGCAGTTGGATGCGGCCGGCCTCACCTCCGATGACGTTCTCCTGCTGCAGATGGAAATCACCCATGCGGAGAACTGGAAGGCGGTGGGCATCGCCAAGGCGAAGGGCGCTCGGGTGGTGCTGAACCTCGCGCCCGCCGGTCCGATCCCGGAGGAGACGCTGCGCCAGCTCGATGTGCTGGTTGTCAACGAGACAGAGGCGGGCCAGCTCGGGGCGCAGCTCGGCATCGCCGACACCGATCCGGAGGCTGTCGCCGGCAAGATCGCGGCGGACTTCGATCTGGATTGCATCGTCACCCTGGGCGCGGCCGGCGCCCGGTCCTTCGGACCCTCCGGCCGCTTCTCGGTGCCGGCCCTGCCGACCGAAGTGGTCGACACTACGGCCGCCGGCGATGCCTTTGTCGGCGCCTTCGCGGCTGCGCTCGATCAGGGCCGGCCGATGGATCAGGCTCTGCGCCAGGGTGCGGTGGCCGGCAGCCTCGCCTGCCGCTCCGTCGGCGCCCAGCCCAGCCTGCCCAAGGGCAAGGAGATCGCCGCCCAGCTTGCCGAGCTCACCTGACGAAACGATGGCAGGTCAGGCGCCGGCGCCTCTTTCGTGGCTGATGGAGTAGACCAGGACCTGGGTCACGGAGACGCCGTCCTCTGACAGCGGCAAAAAGATCGTGCTTTCCTTGCTCCGGCGGCCTCCGGGCGTCACGTAGGCGTTGGGGTCGTAAAGGTAGGTGCGCTTCTTGCGGACGTGCTCGTAGGAGTCGATGACATCTTCGAGGCTGGGGCCCCAGAAGCCTTCCTCGATGCGCTTGCCGGTGGGGTCGTGGCCCCGCAAGGTGACTTCCGCTGTGCCGACGACGCGGTAACGAAACACGCCGACACCGTGGTTATCGACGCTTTCGACGTCGACCAGCAGAATGCCCGGCAGATGCCGTGGGATGTCTGCCGGATCGATGTCCGCACGCCGCGGCATCGGGCGGTCGCCGCGCTTTGCCTCCCAGTACCGGAAGATTTCCACGACCTCCTTCGGGCAGTGCTCCAGGAAGCCGGGCTCGGACGGCGATGGGTGCGGCACGGACTCTTCCTCTGACGGTTCCCTCTCACCACAGGATGACCGAGAGTACGAAAGAGAATCTAAACAAAGCAGTATAATTGAATTGATTTGATTGCAGGGGCGGTGATCTTGAGCCGGAGGTGGAAGAGCCGGTCCGCATGTTCGCCGCTATCCGCCGGCGCGCCCCGGTCGATGGCGCCGCGGAAAATGCTCCTGCGAATCTACAAACGGTCATGTCTGCGATGTTCACTATGGGCCTTTGCTGTTGCTGACCGGAGAGGAGCAGCCATGACGGGACGGTATCTTGCAGCCCTGCTGCTGATCCTGGGATGTCCGCTTGCAGCCCAGGCCCAGGACTTCGTCGCCCTCAGTTCCCAGCATTTTGCCGGCGTGACGACCTCGCAGACCACGACCCGGGCCATGATGCTGACGGTGACCCCCGATACGGGCTCGTCCTTCAGCGCAAAGGCGGAGACCCTGCGCGATCAGCGCGGCGCTCCGACAGACTTTGCCTATACCAGCGACGCGATTTCGGCCGCGAAGGTGGAGACCGAGATCGTTGCCCGGGTTTCCCGGTCCAATCCGCAGGCCGGCAAAACGCTGGCCCGGCAGTTCGCCCGGCACGACTTCGCCGAGGTCTACCGCGGCATCGTCGGCCCCTATGGCCTGCCGCACCGCAACCTCGCCGGCTCGGTCACCGCCTACGAGGTGCTGGCCTGGCTGATCGCCAACGACAGGCAGGAACCGCCGGCCGGCGCCGTGCAGGCGGCCTTCGCCCAGAACGCGGCGGCCATGGCGGCAGATCCGCGCTTCGCCGCGGAGGCGCTGCGGCGCGACATGGACGAGGAACTGATGCGTCTCTTCGTGGTCATGCACGCGGGCTGGCTGAGCGCGCTCAATCGCGAAGGGCCGGCGGCCCTGGCGCGCTACGCCGATGGGGTCAACGCGATGTGGAAGACCACCTTCGGCCAGGATCTGCGTCAGGCCAAATTGACGGCAAGCGGCTTCAGCGCGCGCTAGCCTTGGCGGGTCGATCCAGTCTGCGGTGTTCCGATAACGACGTCACCACGTCGGCGTAAAGGGCGAGCGCTTCCGCGCCTTTGGGCGAGAGGGCGTAGACGCCGCGCTCGACCCGCTGGAACCAGCCGTAGACATCCCGTTGCAGGATGCGCTGGGCGCCGGCGACGGCGGTCGCCTCGGCCACGGCGGCGGCTTTGGTCGGGCCGCTTTCCCTGAGCAGGGCGGCGCAGGCGAGCGCGGCCTGGCGGTAGGCGGTGACGATGGGCCGGCGCGTCTGGCCGCCGGTGTTCGGGTCGCCGATCCTATGGGCGAACTCCTTCAGCAGCAGCCCTTGGCGCTTCCGGTTGGGGCGCGGCTGGTAGGGCAGGGGGTCGAGCAGCGGCTCCACCAGCGGGTCCTTGCTGGCCGTCGCTTCATGCACCGCCAGCAGGCCGAGGCCCAGGCGGCGGCAGAGCTTCAGGATGCCGCGGCGTTCGCGGCGCCACAGACTGCCGCGGGCGGGCCGGGCCGGAACACCGACTGCAAGATAGACATGATCGCTGAGTGCCAGACGGTCGATGCCCTGCAGGACCAGGGGCAGGGTGAAGCCGGTCTTCAACTCGACGATGACCGGAGGGTCCTCACCGCGGCGGGCGACCAGGTCGCAGCCGCGCACCTCGGCCTTCACCACGTAGCCCTGGCCCTCGAAGAAGGCTTTGACGGGGGCGTAGAGATCTTCTTCCTTGGCGAATCCCACGCCCGTGAGTCTAACGCCCGCGCCTCGGCCGGACCAGTGGGGGACTCACGTCGTCAGGGCGCGGTTCCAGGGCATGAGGCCGAGCAGCCTGGCCATCCCGCAGGTGCCGGAAAGGCCTGCGAAGGTGAGGCCGGCGCCGACGAAACCGGACAGCACAAAGAACCAGGGCGAGAGGGCAAAGCCCAGCAGCACGCCCAGCAGCACCATCAGGCCGGCGGTGATCTGTACCTGGCGCTGCATGGAGATCGGCACCCGGCGGTTGACGCGGGTGGCCATGCCGGCGGCCTTCCAGCCGGCAAGCCCGCCATCGAGCTGGCGGACCGCGGCAAAGCCGCTGGCCAGGATGCGCGGCGCGGCTTCGGCGGTGCGGGAGCCGCTGGCGCAGTGGAAGATCGCGGTCTTGTCGCGCGCGCCGGGAAAGTCGCCCGCGTCGAAGCCCGAAAGCGGCACGTGATGCGCGCCCGGAATGTGCTCGCGGGCGAACTCGTCGCTTTCGCGGATATCGATCAGGACGGCCTGATCCTGATCCAGCATGGTCTTCGCCGCCTCGGCGCCGATGGTCTTCAGTGTCTGCATCGCTTTGGGTCTCCTTAGCCTGCGTCCTGCAGCGCCGCGGACGGCGCGCTCTGCGTCTGTTCCCGATTGTGGCGGCAGAAGAGGTCGTAGAGCAGGGCGATCACCGCCCGCGCTTCACGCCCGCTCAGCCGATAGTGGATCTGCCGCCCCTCGCGCCGGGCGGCGACCAGACCGTCCTTGCGCAGCAGGGCCAGTTGCTGCGAAACCGCAGCCTGACGCAGCCCCAGGGTCTCCGCCAGGTGCCCCACCGTTTTCTCCTCCTCGGCCAGCTGGCAGAGGATCATCAGCCGGTTCTCGCTGGCCAGCGCCTTCATCAGGTCGGCAGCCAGGGTGGCGGACTGCTGCATCGATTGAACATTCATATATTCATATATATGAAGATATCGGGTTCAGTCAAGGACGGCTGGACTGCGGCGGTGTACTGCTGGGATTGTGGCGGCCCGTGCGGGCAGGTTATGGAAGAGGCAGGCAGCGGCTCCGATATCAGGGACTCGATGAGCGATTCGGCCAGGGAGTGCAGAGATGAATGAAGCGGCCGGCCGGCCCGAGGTGACGGCGTTTTTCGATGAGGCGACCTTCACGGTCAGCTACGTGGTGGCCGAGCCCGGAGGCGGGCGGGCCGCGGTCATCGATTCCGTCCTCGACTACGATCCCAAGTCCGGGCGTCGCTCGACCGCCTCGGCCGACAGGATCATCGACTTCGTGCGGACGCAGGGTCTGGGTGTCGACTGGATCCTGGAAACCCATGTCCATGCCGACCATCTGACGGCGGCGCCCTACCTGCAGCAGCAGCTCGGCGGGACCATCGGCATCGGCGCCGAGGTCTGCCGTGTGCAGGAAGCCTTTCGCAGTGTCTACAATCTGGATGGGGGCTTCGCCGCCGATGGCAGCCAGTTCGACCATCTTTTCCGGGACGGCGAGAGGCTTTCCATCGGCGGCCTGACGGCAGAAGTGATGTCGACGCCGGGCCACACGCCGGCTTGCATCACCTATGTCATCGGCGATGCCGCCTTCGTCGGTGATACCCTCTTCATGCCGGACTACGGTTCGGCGCGCACCGACTTTCCCGGCGGCGACGCGCGCCAGCTCTACCGCTCCGTCCGGCGCATTCTCGCGCTGCCGTCCGAGACGCGGCTGTTCCTCTGCCACGACTACAAGGCGCCGGGGCGCGATGTCTTCGCCTGGGAGACGACGGTGGCCGAGCAGCGGGAAAAGAACATCCACCTGCACGACGGGGTGGGGGAGGAGGACTTTGTCGCCCTGCGCGAAGGGCGCGATGCCGGGCTCTCCATGCCGGTGCTGCTGCTGCCGGCGGTGCAGGTGAACATGCGCGCCGGTCACCTGCCGCCGCCGGAAGACAACGGCATCTCCTACCTGAAGATCCCGGTCGACGGGGTCTGACCGGCACGTCGGAGTCCGAAACCGGCCCCGGACAAAAAGAAAGGGGCCGGTCGACGACCGGCCCCGGAGCTTTGACTCGGCTTTCTCTTAGAAGCCCATATCGCCCATGCCGCCCATTCCGGGGGCGCCGCCGGGCATGGCCGGGGCCTTGTCTTCCGGCTTTTCGGCGACCATGGCTTCCGTGGTGATCAGCAGACCGGCGATGGAGGCCGCATCCTGCAGGGCCGCGCGCACCACCTTGGTGGGGTCGATAACGCCGTCCTTCACCAGGTTGGTGTAGCGGCCGCTCTGGGCGTTGTAACCCGCCTGCTGGTCCTTCTGCTCGCGCACCTTGCCGACCACGATGGAGCCGTCGGCGCCGGCATTGACCGCGATCTGGCGCAGCGGCGACTCCAGCGCCTTGCGGACAATGCGGATGCCGACTTTCTGGTCCTCGTTTTCGCCCTCCAGCTTGTCGAGCTTGGCGGCCGCGCGCAGCAGGGCGACGCCGCCGCCCGGCACGATGCCTTCCTCGACCGCGGCACGGGTCGCATGAAGCGCGTCGTCGACGCGGTCCTTGCGCTCCTTCACCTCGACCTCGGTGGCGCCGCCGACGCGGATCACCGCCACGCCGCCGGACAGCTTGGCCAGGCGCTCCTGCAGCTTTTCGCGGTCGTAGTCCGAGGTGGTTTCCTCGATCTGCGCCTTGATCTGGCTGCAGCGGGCCTGGATGTCGCTCTTCTTGCCGGCGCCGCTGACGATGGTGGTCTCGTCCTTGGTGATGATCACCCGCTTGGCGCGGCCCAGCATGTCCAGGGTGACGTTCTCCAGCTTGATCCCGACGTCTTCCGAGACCGCGGTGCCGCCGGTCAGGATGGCGATGTCCTGCAGCATGGCCTTGCGCCGGTCGCCGAAGCCCGGCGCCTTGACCGCCGCCACCTTCAGGCCGCCGCGCAGGCGGTTCACCACCAGGGTGGCGAGCGCCTCGCCCTCCACATCCTCGGCGATCACCAGCACCGGCTTGCCGGACTGCACCACCGATTCCAGCAGCGGCAGCATGGACTGCAGCCCGCTGAGCTTGGCCTCGTGGACCAGGATGTAGGGGTCTTCCAGCACCGCCTGCATCTTGTCGGCATCGGTGACGAAGTAGGGCGAGAGGTAGCCGCGGTCGAACTGCATGCCTTCGACCACTTCCAGTTCGGTCTCCAGCGACTTGGCCTCTTCGACCGTGATCACGCCCTCGTTGCCGACGCGCTCCATGGCCTCGGCCAGCATTGCCCCGACCTCGGCATCGCCGTTGGCCGAGATCGTGCCGACCTGGGCGATTTCGTCGTTGGACGCAATTCTGCGGGAACGCTTCTGCAGGTCAGCCACCACGGCTTCCACGGCGCTGTCGATACCCCGTTTCAGGTCCATCGGGTTCATGCCGGCGGCCACCGCCTTCACGCCCTCGCGGACGATCGCCTGGGCCAGTACCGTGGCCGTGGTGGTGCCGTCGCCGGCGATATCGCTGGTCTTGGACGCGACCTCGCGGACCATCTGGGCGCCCATGTTCTCGAACTTGTCCTTCAGTTCGATGTCCTTGGCGACGGTCACGCCGTCCTTGGTCACCCGCGGGGCACCGAAGGACTTGTCGAGAACGACGTTGCGGCCCTTGGGACCCAGGGTGACCTTGACCGCATCCGCCAGAACGTCGACGCCGTGCAGCATGCGCTCGCGGGCATCGGTCGAAAACTTGACGTCTTTTGCAGCCATCTTGGGATGCTCCTCCGTGTTTTGGTTGCCGGCGTCGCTCAGGCGGCCTTCTTGGAGGCCTTGGTCTTTTCGAGCACGCCCATGATGTCGGACTCTTTCATGATCAGGAGGTCTTCACCGCCGACCTTCACCTCGGTGCCGGACCACTTGCCGAAGAGAACCAGATCGCCGACCTTCACGTCCGGCGCGATCAGTTCGCCCTTGTCGTTGCGTGCGCCGGGCCCGACGGCGATGACCTCACCCTGGCTGGGTTTTTCCTTGGCGGTGTCCGGGATGATGATGCCACCGGCGGTCTTCTCTTCTTCGTCGACGCGGCGAACGGCGACCCGGTCATGCAAAGGCCTGAATTTCATCGAACTTTCCCCTTTTTTGGTGTGGACGTTTGGTGTGGATTGGGACGATCTTAGCACTCTCGTTTCAAGAGTGCTAATGTAGGATGCACTTGGGATCTCCGGCGCCTGCGTCAAGAGCGCGGGTGGGGTTATTTTCGGTCCCTTGCGGGGGGCTTCAGGCCGGGGCTTAGGCCGGGATGATCGCGCCCTTGGTCCGGATCACCCGGCCGGCGAGGGCGTGGCCCGCTGCGGCGGCCTCTTCGGCACCGCTGCCGCCCAGGCGCGCCGCCAGATAGGCGCCGTTGAAGGAGTCCCCGGCGGCGGTGGTGTCCACCGGCCGCGCGACCGTCTCGCCGGCAACCCTTGACTGCCGGCCTTCAACACTGACAAGGCAAGGCCCAGCGCCGCACTTGACCACCACTTCGCCGACCCCCAGGCTGTGCAGCCGCTCGGCCGTGGCCTCGGGCGATGTGTCGCCGAACAGCGCCGCCTCGTCTTCGTGGGTCGGCAGAGCCAGGTCGGCCAGGGACAGCGTGCGGCGCACCGCCTCCTGCGCCTCCGAGGGGTCGCGCCACAGCCGCGGGCGGTAGTTGGTGTCGAAGGCGAGGCGGCTGCCGCCGGCGCGAAGGCGCTCAAGCAGTTCGTAGAGCCGTTCCCGGCTTCCGGCATCGAGGATTCCCAGTGTGATCCCAGACAGATAGATCAGATCGAAGCCGGCGAGGGCCTCGGCCAGACCGGCCGTCCGCTCCGCCTGAAGCATGTCGCGGGCGGCGGCGGCGCTGCGCCAGTAATGGAAGGTCCGTTCGCCCTGCCCATCGGTGCGGATGATGTAGAGACCCGGCAACCTGCCCGGCAGCCGTGCGACCAGGCCGGTTTCCAGGCCTTCGCGCTGCCAGGCTGCGATCATCTCCGAACTGAACGGATCGTCGCCCAGGGCCGTCACGTAGGAGACCCGGCCGCTTTCCGGCGCCAGCGCGCGGGCGAGATAGACCGCGGTGTTCAGGGTGTCCCCGCCGAAGGTGCGCTGCATGGCGGCGGCCCCTGCTTCCCGGCCGTTTTCCGGGCCACCGGCGCTTTCCGAAAGCTCGATCATGCACTCGCCAAGGCTTGCGATGCGCAGCATGGGAAGGAAGCCGCCGTGCTGTTGAAGACCTGCCGTCCCTTTGGGGCATGCCCGTCAGGGACGACGGCCTAGGCAATAGCGGCTGGCTCGGCGCAGGGCAAGCGCGGCGGACCCGATCGATCAGCCGCAGATGTCGGGTATCATGCGGCGCAGATGGCCGCTGCCGGCGCAGGGCGCAGGCGCCGGCGGCCAAGGGCGATCGCGGCGATCACATCCTCTTCCGTCAGTCCGTCGCGTTTCAGTACCGCCTGGATGACTGCATCGCGCAGCATCTCCTCGATCTCCGGCTCTCCCTGAATCCAGGCGGAGCCGGCACCGGCACTGTAACGAACTGCGAAGGGATTGATCATGAAGTCTGCCTTTCTGAAGAGTTGGCTTCCGGAGAGCCCGCTGGACCGGGCTCACTGTTCGACGCGTTGGTCACCCTGAGAAGAGACAGTCATTCGCAAGCAAAGCTTCCATCGCGAACCACTTTAGACATAGTGGACCATAGGTATGAGAATGATCTGATCTATTTGTGACAATTTGACTGCTGCCCTTGGTTGTAGCGGGCGCGGAGATTTTCCTACAAAAACAATATCAGAAAACAACCTAAAATTGAAAATCGAATATGAAGCCTTCCGGGCTCCGGCCTCTCCGCCCTGCCGCCCGCAGGCGGCAGCGCCTGTGACAGAATTGTCATGCCGCGGAAAGATGTCTCTAACAAAGGCGGGTTAGCGTTTACCCGTTGGCGCCGATGCAGGGCAGGCGGTCAGAGCGGCCTGAAGCGCAATTCGCCGGCATCGCGGCGGTCGGATATCCGCCCACAGCCGGCAGCATGCTTGGCCCCGTGACCCTCGGGTCGTGCGACAACGGAACGTCAGCATCCGGTTCACCCCCCAACCGGAACTCCCCCGTACGATTTGCCCGTACGGGTACCCGGGTCCCGGGTCGCTGTGCAGGTGCGAACAGCCACATGCGCGACGTCCCGGGCCTCACAGTGGTTTAGATCCCTAGCCAACTGGCCGGGCTCTCCGATTTCGGGGTGGCCCGGCTTCCTTTTTCCACAGCCCCTTCCGGAACCCCAGGTCAGCATCCGCCGCCCCTGAAGGCGTCCCCCGAAGGCGCGCGAAATTCAACTGGCGCTTCTGTGCGAGCATGGTAGCGTAGGCGCTTGGACGCAGCGGATTCCGGGCCTTACCGGCGGGATTTTGCACTGCGGAACGAAGCGAAGAACAAGAACTCAGGCGAGGCATCTTCATGGTACGCACTTTGACGGCCGCGGCGGCGGCCTTGCTCGTTTCGACCTCCCTTGCGGCCACGGCCGCGGTCGCCGACGACATCAATCCGGCGGTCGTCTTCGACATGGGCGGCAAGTTCGACAAGTCCTTCAACGAGGGCGTCTTCAACGGGGTCGAGAAGTTCAAGAAGGAAACCGGCGTTTCCTATCGGGAGTTTGAGGTCACCAACGAAACCCAGCGCGAACAGGCGCTGCGGCGCATGGCCCAGCGCGGCGCCGACCCGATCATCGGGGTCGGGTTCGCCCAGGCGCCGGCCCTCGAAAAGGTGGCCAAGGAGTTTCCGGACACCCGCTTTACGATCATCGATTCCGTTGTCGACCTGCCGAACGTCCGTTCGGTGGTGTTCAAGGAGCACGAGGGCTCCTTCCTCGTCGGCATGATTGCGGCGCTGAAGTCGGAGTCCGGCAAGGTCGGCTTCGTCGGCGGCATGGATATCCCGCTGATCCGCAAGTTCGCCTGCGGTTACGAGCAGGGCGCCAAGCACGTGAGCGGCAACACCGAGGTGCTGCAGAACATGACCGGCACCACGCCGGCCGCCTGGAACGATCCGACGCGCGGGTCGGAACTGGCCAAGAGCCAGTTTGACCGCGGCGTCGATGTGATCTACGCGGCTGCCGGCGGCACCGGCGTCGGCGTCTACCAGACCGCCAAGGACAGCGGCAAGTTCGCCATCGGCGTCGACTCCAACCAGAACCACCTGCAGCCGGGCACCATGCTGACCTCCATGCTCAAGCGCGTGGATGTCGCGGCCTACAAGGCCTTCAAGGACGCTCATGACGGCAGCTGGGCCCCCGGCATCCAGGTGCTGGGCCTGGCCGAAGAGGGTGTGGGCTGGGCGCTTGACGAGTACAACAAGGACCTGGTCTCGGCGGACATGATGGCAAAGGTGGAAGCCGCGGCCGCGGACATTGTTTCCGGCAAGCTCAGCGTCCACGACTATATGAGCGACAACAGCTGCTCCTACTAGGCGCAGCCGTCGTCCAGGCTTGATCCACCAGGCTTGATCCAGATGTCCGGACCCGAACACGGCAGGAACTGACCTCTCGGCTTCCTGCCGTGGTTCGGGTGCGTTTTCTGGGTGCTGCCGCCGCCGGCCCGGGAACGACCCTTGTCTCATCAACAAGAAAGCCAGGAACAGCATGCGGGCCCGCCGGGAGGCGCCGGCGACTCGCCCGCCATCGAGCTGCGGGGGATCAGCAAAGCCTTCGGGCCGGTTCAGGCCAACAAGGACGTCTCGCTGAACATCCGCCCGGGGTCGATCCACGGCATCATCGGCGAAAACGGCGCCGGCAAGTCGACCCTGATGAGCATCCTCTATGGCTTCTACGAAGCCGACAGCGGCGAAATTCTCATTTCCGGCGTGCCGACGCGGATCCGCTCTTCCAACGACGCCATCGCCGCCGGCATCGGCATGGTCCACCAGCACTTCATGCTGGTCGACAACATGTCCGTCGTGGAGAACATCATGCTGGGCGCGGAATCCGGCGCGATCCTGACCTCCAGCGTCGCCGCCGCGCGCGCCGAACTGGAGCGCCTGGAACGGGACTACGATCTGGAGGTCGACCCGGATGCGTTGGCCGGCGAACTGCCGGTGGGCCAGCAGCAGCGCGTCGAGATCCTGAAGGCGCTTTACCGCGGCGCCGACATCCTGATCCTCGACGAGCCGACCGGCGTGCTCACCCCGCAGGAAACCGATCAACTCTTCCGCATTCTCGATTCCCTGCGTCAGCAGGGGGTGACCATCGTTCTGATCACCCACAAGCTGCAGGAGATCATGGCAGTCACCGACCATGTCTCCGTCATGCGCGGCGGCGAGATGATCGCCCATCGCAGGACCAGCGAGACCAGCAAGGAAGAGCTGGCAGAGCTGATGGTCGGGCGCAAGGTGCTGCTGCGGGTCGACAAGGCGGCGCCCCAGGCCGGCGAGACCGTTCTGGCGCTGGAGAGCCTGACCTTCGTGGACCGTGTGGGCGTGAAGCGCGTCGACAACGTCAGCTTCTCGGTGCGCGCCGGGGAGATCGTCGGCATCGCCGGCGTTTCCGGCAACGGCCAGAGCGAGCTTCTGGATCTGCTGTCCGGCATCCGCCCGATCAGCGCCGGACGCTTTACCATGATGGGGCAGACCTTCTCCGCGGGCCATCCGCTCGACCCCGCCACCATGCGCGACCTCAAGGTGGCGCACGTGCCGGAGGACCGGCTGCGCAGCGGCCTCGTGCGCACCTTCGCCGCCGAGGAATCGGCGATCTTGGGCTACCACAACGACCCCGCCTACAACGGGCGCGTACTCATGAACCAAGAGGTGATTCACGAGGACTGCGCCAGGAAGATGGCGGATTTCGATGTGCGTCCGCAGAACGCCAGCCTGAAGACCGCCAACTTCTCCGGCGGCAATCAGCAGAAGCTGATCCTGGCGCGGGAAATCTCGCGCAGCCCGCGCCTTCTTCTGGTCGGCCAGCCGACCCGCGGCGTCGACATCGGCGCCATCGAGTTCATTCACCGCAACATCATCGCCATGCGCGATTCGGGCTCCGCCGTGCTGCTGGTTTCCGTGGAGCTGGAGGAAATCATGTCGCTGAGCGACCGCATCGTCGTGATGTTCGAAGGGCGCATCGTCGGCGAGCTGCCGGCCCATGAAGCCAACGAGCGCCTGCTCGGCCTGATGATGGCCAACGCGGCGCCGGCACGCGGCGAAGACGCCTTGCCGGCCGCGGACACGCCGGAGGTCTCGGGCGCATGAGCGCGGCGCCGGGCAGCATTCCGCGCTGGGTCGATATCGGCCTCATTCCGCTGGTCAACATCGCGCTGGCCTTCTTCGTCTCCGGCATCATCCTCTGGACCATCGACGTCGATCCCTTCACCGCGGTGGAGATCATTCTCTTCGGCGCCTTCGGCTACGACGAGGCGATCGGCTACACGCTCTACTACACCACCAACTTCGTCTTCACCGGACTGGCGGTGGCGGTCGCCTTTCACGCCGGGCTGTTCAACATCGGCGGCGAAGGCCAGGCCTACATCGGCGGCCTGGGCGTCGGCCTCGGCATCCTGCTCGTCGACACGACTCTCCCGTTTGTGCTGATCCTGCCGCTTTCGATCCTGCTGGCCGCCGCCTTCGGCGCCGGCTGGGCGGCGATTCCGGCCTACCTGCAGGCCTATCGCGGCAGCCACATCGTCATCACCACCATCATGTTCAACTTCATCGCTTCGGCGCTGATGGTCTACCTGATGGTGAACATCCTCATTCAGCCGGGCTCCATGTCGCCGGAAAGCCGCGAGTTCGCGGCTTCCGGTCAACTGCCGTTCATGCACGAGGTCTTCGGCTGGTTCGGCATGCAGGTCACGCCCTCGCCACTGAACCTTTCTGTCGTCTGGGCGGCAATCTGCTGCGTACTCGTCTGGGCCTTCATCTGGCGCACCCGCTGGGGCTATCAGATCCGCACCGTCGGCGCCAACGAGACGGCGGCCATCTATGCCGGCATCGATCCGCGCCGTGTCATCATGCTGGCGATGGCCGTGTCCGGCGCGCTGGCCGGCTTCGTCGGCATCAACGAGGTGATGGGCGTCCACCACCGCCTGCTGCTGAACTTCACCGCCGGCTACGGCTTCACCGGCATCGCGGTCTCCCTGATGGGCCGCAACCACCCCGTCGGCATCGTGCTCGCCAGCCTGCTCTTCGGCATGCTCTACCAGGGCGGCGCGGAACTGGCCTTCGAGGAGCCGAAGGTGACCCGCGAACTGGTGGTGACCATCCAGGGCCTGGTGATCCTCTTCTCCGGTGCACTGGCCTTCATGATGAAGGGCCCCATCGAGCGGGCCTATCTGCGCATCGCCGGCGGCTTCCAGCGCCCGGCGGGGCAGGAGGGCTGATCGGTGGAGGGGCTGCTCTTCAACCTGCTGCTTTCCATCGACGCCACCTTCCGGGTCGCGACGCCGCTGGTGCTCTGCGCCATGGCCGGGCTCTTCGCCGAGCGTTCCGGCGTCATCGATATCGGCCTGGAGGGCAAGATGCTGGCCGCCGCCTTCGCCGCGGCCTCCATGGCGGCGGTCACCGGCTCGGCCTGGCTGGCGCTCGGCGCCGGCATGGTCGTCTCCGTGGCCCTGGCCCTGCTGCACGGTTTTGCCTGCATCACCCACCGCGGCAACCAGGTTGTCAGCGGCGTGGCCATCAACATCCTGGTCTCCGGCCTCACCGTGGTCCTGGGCATCGCCTGGTTCGCCCGTGGCGGCCAGACTCCCTCCGTCTCCAACGAAGCCCGCTTCACGCCGATCACCTGGCCCGGCGCCGAGACGCTGGCCGGCGTGCCGATCCTCGGCCCGATCTACAGCGAGCTGCTCAGCGGCCACAACCTGCTGGTCTATGTCGCCTTCCTCATCGTCCCGCTCACCTGGTGGGTGGTTTATCGTACCCGCTTCGGCCTGCGCCTGCGCGCCGTCGGCGAGAACCCCAACGCGGTCGACACGGCGGGGATTTCGGTCAGCGGCCTGCGCTATGCGGCGATGCTCTGCTGCGGCGCGCTCTGCGGCATCGCCGGCACCTATCTCTCCATCGCCCAGAACGCCGCCTTCGTGCGCGACATGACGGCCGGGCAGGGCTATATCGCCCTGGCGGCGATGATCTTCGGCAAGTGGCGGCCCGTGCCGGCCATGCTCGCCTGCCTGATGTTCGGTTTCCTGGACGCCGTGGCGATCCGCCTGCAGGGCGTCGAGGTGCCGGTGATCGGGCCGATCCCGGTGCAGCTCATCCAGGCGCTGCCCTATGTGCTGACCGTCGTTCTGCTGGCCGGCTTCATCGGCCGGGCCATCGCCCCCAAGGCCAGCGGCATTCCTTACGTAAAAGAACGCTAGCATGGCCGAGGATCTGGTTACCCTGGCGATCGCTGCCATGGAGCGGGCCTACGCGCCCTATTCGAACTTCCCCGTGGGCGCCGCGCTGCGGGCGCAGAACGGCGCGGTGTTTTCGGGCTGCAATGTCGAGAACGCGGCCTACCCGCAGGGCTGGTGTGCCGAGACCAGCGCCATCGCCGCCATGATCATGGCCGGGGAGACGCGCATTGTGGAGATCGCGGTGGCGGGCGGCGGTGCGGGGCTCTGTACACCCTGTGGCGGCTGCCGCCAGCGCCTGCGGGAGTTCGCCGGCGACGATCTTGTCATCCATGTCTGCGGGCCCGAAGGACTGCGCCGGACGGTGACCCTGGGCGAGCTCTTGCCGCTTTCGTTCGGTCCGGACAATCTGGACTGACCGTTAGGCTCCGGCAGGTAAAAACGCGTCTCAGTGAGGTGTCTTTGATGTTCGAGGAAGCGGCCGAAACCGCCGCCATGATCCGCCGACAGGCCGGCATCGTGCCGAAGGTGGCGCTGGTGCTGGGCTCCGGCCTCGGCGCCGTCGCCGATGCGGTGGAGGCGCCGCAGACCCTCGCCTACCGGGACCTGCCGGGTTTCCCGCGCCCCTCGGTCGCAGGGCACGGCGGCAGCCTGATCCTGGGGCGCATCGCCGGACTGCCGGTGGCGGTGCTTCAGGGCCGCGCGCACTACTACGAAAGCGGGCGCGCCGATGGCATGAACCTGGCTCTGGCGGTGCTGAAGGAACTCGGCTGCGCGCGGCTCATTCTGACCAATGCCGCCGGCTCCCTGCGCGCCGACGTCGGGCCGGGGCGCCTGATGCTGATCCGCGACCACATCAACTTCGCCGGCGTCTCGCCGCTTTTCGGGCTTGCCGGCAACGCGCGCTTCGTCGATCTGGTCGACGCCTACGACCCCGCGGCGCGCGCCGCCATCGTCGACGTCGCCGGGCGCCTGGGCCTGCCGCTGGCCGAGGGCGTCTACGTCTGGTTCTGCGGGCCGCATTTCGAAACCCCGGCGGAAATCCGCGCGGCGCAGGTCCTCGGCGGCGATGCGGTGGGCATGTCGACGGTGCCGGAGGTCATTGTCGCACGGCTGCTGGGCCTGAAGGTTTCCGCGCTGTCGATGATCACAAACCTGGCCGCCGGGATGTCCGCGGAGCCGCTCTCCCACGACCACACCATGCAGCACGCGACGGCGGCCGCCGCCGATATGGCGCGCCTCCTGACCGCCTATCTGGAGACCCTGGCCCATGATGGACCCGAGCCATGACAGATGACACGAAGGCGATGAAAGCCGTGGCGGCGCGGGCCCTCGGCCTGCTCGACCTCACCAGCCTCAATGACGACGACGATGCGGCGGTGGTCGACGCGCTCTGCGAAAGGGCGAGGACGCCATTCGGCCCCGTGGCCGCCGTCTGCATCTGGCCGCGTTTCGTGGCGCAGGCGAAAGACCTGCTGCATGGCAGCGGCATCAAGGTTGCGGCGGTGGCGAACTTCCCCGCCGGCGGCGACGACATCGCCGCGGCGCTGAGCGACACGCGGGAGATCGTCCAGGCCGGCGGCGACGAGGTGGACCTTGTGATGCCCTACACGAAGTGGCTGGCCGGGGAGCGGGATCTGGCCAAGCGGATGATCGCCGACTGCAAGCAGGCCTGCGGCGACACAGCGCGCCTCAAGGTCATCCTCGAAACCGGCCGGCTGGACGCTGCGGAGACGATCTATGAAGCCAGCGGCGATGCCATCGCCGCCGGCGCCGATATGATCAAGACCTCGACCGGCAAGATCGCAGTGTCTGCCACCCTGGAGGCTGCCGAGGCCATGTTGCGGGCGATCAAGGACTCCGGCCGCGATGTCGGCTTCAAGGCGGCGGGCGGCATACGCGACACGGCGGCGGCGGGCGTCTACCTGGCCCTCGCCGACCGGATCATGGGCCCGGACTGGGTCGACCCCTGGCGGTTCCGCTTCGGCGCCTCCGGTCTGCTGAACGATCTTTTGGCCGTGCTCGGAGACGAGGCGGCGGCGCCGGCCGCGGAGCAGGGCTACTGATGGCGCTGCTGCCCCAGGAGATCATCCGCCGCAAGCGCGACGGTGCGGCCCTTTCGCAGGAGGAGATCGCCGCCTTCGTGGCCGGCATCGCCGATGACAGTATCGGCGAGGGCCAGGTTGCGGCCTTTGCCATGGCGGTTTTCCTGCGTGGCATGGCGCGGGCCGAAGCGGTGGCCCTGACCCGCGCCATGACCGAGTCCGGCCAGCGCCTGGACTGGCAGGGCCTGGACCTGCCGGGCCCCTGCGTCGACAAACATTCCACCGGGGGCGTCGGCGACAAGGTCAGCCTGATCCTCGGGCCGCTGGTGGCGGCCTGCGGCGGCTACGTGCCGATGATTTCGGGCCGGGGGCTCGGCCATACCGGCGGCACGCTGGACAAGCTGGACGCCATTCCCGGCTATACCACCGCGCCGGATGTCGATCGCTTCCGCCAGACGGTCAAGGCCGCCGGCTGCGCCATCATCGGCCAGACCGCCGACCTGGCGCCGGCCGACAAGCGGCTCTATGCCATCCGTGACGTCACCGCGACGGTAGAATCCATCCCGCTGATCACGGCGTCCATTCTCTCCAAGAAGCTGGCCGCCGGTCTCCAGGGCCTGGTGATGGACGTAAAGACCGGCAACGGCGCCTTCGCCGCGACGGTGGAGGAGGCGCGGGCCTTGGCGGAGAGCATCGTCGCCGTCGCCGGCGGGGCGGGCCTGCCCACCACGGCGCTGATCACCGACATGAACCAGCCGCTGGGAAGCACCGCGGGCAATGCCCTGGAGGTCGCCGAATCGGTGGCCATGCTGAAGACCGGCCAGGGCGACGCGCGCCTGCGCGAACTGGTCATCGCGCTGGCAGCCGAGATGCTGGTGCTCGGCGGCTTGGCGCCGGAGGCCGCGGCGGCGGCTCAGCAAGCGGAGGCCGCGCTGACATCCGGCGCGGCGGCTGAACGCTTCGGCGCCATGGTGGCCGCCCTTGGCGGAGCGGCGGACTTCGTCGAACGCTCTGATGACTATCTTCCCAAGGCCCCGGTCCAGCGCCCGGTGGCGGCGGAGGCGGCCGGGCGCCTGACCGCCTGCGACACCCGCGCGGTCGGCCTGGCGGTGGTGGAACTGGGCGGCGGGCGGCGGCGGGTCGAAGACAGCATCGACTACGCGGTCGGTTTCAGCGACCTGCTGCCCCTGGGCAGCGCCGTACAGTCCGGCGATCCCCTGGCCGTGGTCCACGCTGCCACCGAAGAGGCCGCGGAGGCGGCAAGCCGGCGCTTGCAGGAAGCCTTCACCTTCGGTCAGACTGTCGAAGACGCCGGCGGGCCGGTGGTGCGGCAGCGCATCACCGCCGCGGATGTTTAAAAGCAGACGCTTAGAAGCGCACGAGAGGAAAGCCCCCCGCGTATGTTTGAGGCGACGGCAGCCCAGCAGCGCATGACACCGCGAGCCGAAGCGGCGCGCTTTGCTGCGCCTTCCGGCGGCCGGCTGACGGCGGAGATGGTGCAGGCCTTTGAACGCGACGGCTTTCTGGTGCTGGAGGACATGGTGCCTCAGGCAGACTGCGAAGCCCTGATCGCCCGCGCCGAGGCCATGGTAGAGGATTTCCAGCCGGCCAGCGTCGCTTCGATCTTTTCGACCCAGGGCCAGGTCCATGGCCGCGACCGCTACTTCCAGGACTCCGGCGACAAGGTCCGCTTCTTCTTTGAAGAGGAGGCCTTCGACGCCGCGGGCGCGCTGCGCCAGGCCAAGCGGCTGTCGATCAACAAGATCGGCCATGCCCAGCACGATCTCGATCCCGTCTTCGCCGCGTTTTCGCACCGCCGCGCTTTCGACAACACCGTCAAGGCGCTGGGCTGTGCCTGCCCCCTGGCGCTGCAGTCGATGTACATCTTCAAGCAGCCGCGCATTGGCGGCGAGGTCGGCTGGCATCAGGATTCGACCTTCCTCTATACCGAGCCCCTGAGCGTGCTCGGCCTATGGTTCTCGCTGGAAGACGCCACGCTGGAGAACGGCTGCCTCTGGGCGCTGCCGGGTGCCCACAAGGGTCCGCTGCGCCAGCGCTGGCGCCGCGTTGGTGAGCGTCTGGTGATGGAATCCCTGGACGAGACACTCTGGGACGAGGAGACGGCGGTGCCGCTGGAGGTGCGCCGGGGCGCCATGGTGGTGCTGCACGGCAAGCTGCCCCACGGCAGCCTGCCCAACCGCTCCGAGCGCTCGCGCCACGCCTATACCCTGCATGTGATCGACGGGGCCTGCGACTATCCGGCGGACAACTGGCTGCAGCGCAGCCCGGCGCTGCCGCTGCGCGGTCTCACCGCCGGCGGCGTGCAGGTGCCGCAATAGAGTTTATGGGGCCGGCGTTTCCGCGCCGCCCGCCTGCGCCGCCCGTCTGCGCCGCAGATTGCTTTTGGATTGGAGAAGAAGATGACTCTTTCTCGCAGCCTCCGGCAGTGCGTTTTCACCGCGGCTCTCATAGCCTCGGCCTTTCTGATCCCGGCCCTTCCCGCAGCCGCGGAACCGGTCACGGTCAGCCTCATGCACATCAACGATCTCGACCGCATCGAGGAATCCAAGGGCAAGGGCGGCATAGCCCGGGTCATGGCCCTGGTGCAGCAGGAACGCGCCCGCGCCGACACCGTGATCTTCACCCACGGCGGCGACACCATCTCGCCCTCGCTGCTGTCCTCCTTCGACAAGGGTGCCCACATGATCGACCTCTACAACGAGGCCGAACTGGACCTGCTGGTGATGGGCAACCACGAGTTCGACTTCGGTCCCGAGGTGGCCAAGCAGCGGGTAAGCGAAGCCCGCTTCACCGTGCTGGCCAGCAACAGCCGCGACAGCGACGGCGAGCCGCTGGACGGCACCGCCGCCACCTGGATGGCCGAAGCCGGGCCCTACAAGATCGGCTTCTTCGGCCTGACGACGCCGGAGACCGCGGACATCTCCAGCCCCGGCACGGTGACCTTCGAACCGCTGCTGCAGTCGGCCCGCGACTACTCCCAGCAACTGCGCGATGAGGGCGCGGACCTGGTGGTGGCCGTGGCCCACACCGGCGTCGAGGAGGATCTCATGCTGATGCGTGCCGACAGCGGCATCGACATTCTGATGTCCGGCCACGACCACCTGCTGGTGACCTACTACGACGGCCAGCGTGCCTTCATCGAGTCCGGATCGCAGGGCGAGCAACTCGTTGTGGTCGATGTGACCCTCAACACGGTGGAAAGCCGCGGGCAGCAACGTTTCGTCTGGGAGCCGGCCTTCCGTATCGTCGACAGCCGCAGTGTCGAGCCCGATGCGGCCATGGCGGCCAAGGTGCAGGTCTACCTCGACCGTTTGAGCGAGGAGCTGGACGTGCCCATCGGCACTGCGCTGACCGCCCTCGACAGCCGGCGCGCCTCCGTACGCGGCGGCGAGACGGCCATCGGCAACCTCATCACCGATGCCATGCGACAAGGCGTCGAGGCCGACGTGGCGCTCACCAACGGCGGCGGCATCCGCGGCGACAAGACCTACGACGCCGGCATCACCCTGACCCGCCGCGACATCCAGACCGAGCTGCCCTTCGGCAACAAGACCGTGAAGCTGGAGCTGACGGGCGCGCAGTTGATGCAGGCCCTGGAGCACGGCTTCAGCAAGGTGGAGGAGGGGGCCGGGCGCTTTCCCAGCGTCTCCGGCATGACCGTGACCTGGAGCCGTTCGGCCCCGGCGGGTCAGCGTGTGCGCTCCGTCACCGTCGGCGGCAAGCTTCTGGACCCGGAGGCGAGCTACACCCTGGCGACCAACGACTTCGTCGCGCGCGGCGGCGACGGCTATGCCGTCTTTACCGAGGCGGTGCCGCTGATCGACGGCATCTCCGCGCGTCTGATGGCGACCATGGTGATGGACTTCGTCGCCGCCACCGGCGAGGTCTCCCCCAAGGTGGAGGGCCGGGTGACGGCTGTCGACTAGAAAGCGGTGGATTGGAGGGGCGGCGACAAGCGCAGGCCGGTGCGAATCGAACGATGATCGAAACGCTCGCCTTCGATGCCGACGATACGCTCTGGCACAACGAGCACCTGTTTCAGGATACGCAGGAGAAGCTTGCGGAAATCGTCGGCCGCCACCGCCCGGGGGAGGACATCGCCGAAGCCCTCTATGCCGTGGAGATGCGCAACCTCGCGCTTTTCGGTTACGGCATCAAGGGCTTCACCCTCTCCATGGTGGAGGCGGCCATCGAGTTGACGCGCGGGCGCATCGCAGCGGACGAGATCCACGAGATCGTGCAGCTCGGTAAGACGATGATGACCGCGCCGGTCGACCTGCTGGAGGGTGTGGAGGCGGTGCTGGACGCTGTCTCCGGACGCTACCGCACGCTGCTCATCACCAAGGGCGACATGGTGGACCAGACCAGCAAGATCGAACGCTCCGGCCTCGCCGGTCACTTCGATCAGGTGGAGATCGTGCCGCGCAAGGACGCGGCGACCTATCGCCGGGTCTTCGACCGTCACGGCGTCGATGCGTTGCGCACCGTGATGGTCGGCAACTCCGTGCCGTCGGACGTGCTGCCGGTGCTGGAACTCGGCGGCTTCGCCGTCCACGTGCCCTATGCCATCCTCTGGGCTCACGAGGCCCATGATGCCGACCCCGTCAGCGAACGATTCCACCGCCTGGAACGGCTGGAGGACCTTCCGAGGCTCTTGCAGCGGCTCGGGGCCTCCGGGCGCTCTTCATAATCAATTCAGCTAAATCGACTACAACCGGAGATCTGGCCGCCGAACCACGGCCGTTTCCGAGAGCTTTGGGGGATTGGACATGCTGGCCGTGATGGGGGCCCTGGCCGAGGAAATCGACCTGCTGCGGGCCGAAATGACCGGGGTCAGCGAGGCCCGCCATGCCGATATCCCGGTGCTGAAGGGCGATTTCAAAGGCACCGAAATCGCGCTGGCGCGCTGCGGCATCGGCAAGGTGAACGCCGCCATCTGCACGCAGATGCTGGTCAACCTCTACGAGCCCGATGCCCTCGTGTTCAGCGGCGTCGCCGGCGGTCTGCTGCCCAATATGCGGGTCGGCGACCTGGTGATCGCCAGCCACCTCATCCAGTTCGACATCGACCTGACCGCTTTCGGCCGGCGCCACGGCGAACTGCCCGATGGGGACCGCATGATCCAGTCGGACCCCGACCTGATCGAAAAGACCGCCGATGCCTTCGACGGTGCGTTCAATGGCGCAGAGGCCGAGCCCAACCTGATGATCGGCACCGTCGTCTCCGGTGACCGCTTCGTCGAGGATTCCAAGACCCTGCGCTGGCTGCAGCGGGAGTTCGGCGCCCTGGCGACGGAGATGGAGGGCGCCGCCGTCGGCTACACCTGCCAGCTCAACAAGCTGCCTTTCGTCGTGGTGCGCGGCCTCTCCGACACCGCCAACGAAGCCGCGCCGGACGATTTCAAGGCCAACCTGGAAACCGTCTGCCGCAACTCCTACCGGCTCATGGACCGCCTCATCCCCGCCTTGGGATAAAGGCTCATTGGTCTAGGCCTTCTGTCGACAGCCAGTAGTCGTCACCGGCGAACCAGAGCCCGGCTGCATCTTTGGGGGGCGCCCCAAGGTGCAGGGCCTGAGTCGGTACGGTCTTGCCGTCGAGCGCCTCCAGCGCTTTTCCGAGGCGTCGGGCCTCCTCCGGACGCCGCGCCCCTACGCAGGGGAAGAAGCCGCAACGGCCGAGGGACCGCGCCGCGAAGCCGTCTGCGGTCTTGGTAGCGAGGAGGAAGAAGCCCCAGCCGTTCCCGCCGGTCAGGGGCAGCAGCAGGCGGCCGCCGGGGACGAGCCGGTCGAGCCAGGCACGCGCCGGATAGGTGGCGCCGGCGAAGGCGATGACCACATCAGCGGACGGCCCGCCGGTCACTTCCACGCCGTTCCCCGGGACGACGGAGGCCTGCGGCCAGAGGGCGAGGGCCGCCTTGGCGCGGCTGGCTAGCTCCGGATCCAACTCGACCGCTTCGACTTGGCCCTTGCGCCCGACGACCTCGGCCAGAACGGCGGTATAGTATCCGGTGCCCGCGCCCACCTGGACGACCCGCTCACCGGCCTTGAGGTCGAGCTGATCGAAGACGTAGGCCCAGAGCGAGGGCTGCCCGTTGTTCAGGTCGCGCGCCTCGTCGATGACCACCAGCACATCGTGGTAGAGCGCGCGGGGATCGGCATCGGGCGTCTCGAAGGCCGGCGCGCCGCGCCGGCGCGAGTAGATATGCCAGGGCCCGGCGCCGCAGAAGCGCTCCCGGGGCACCCGGGCGAAGGCCTCCACCACGGCGGCGTTGCGCGTGACCGGACTGACCGCGCGTAGGTCCTCCGCATACCACCGCCGCGCGGCTTCGATGTCATCCGTCATCCCTGGCTCCTTGTTGCGGTCCGGTCCCGGATCGTGAAGCATCTTCCCCTTCCGGCTGTCGACAATAGCATTGGCGGGCATCGGTTGCCGTGCTATGCGGCGGACATGCTTGCCAGCCTGCCTGATATCTCCTCCCTTACAATCCTTCTTCTCGGCGCCCTGACCGCGGGTTTCGTGACCGGATTTGCCGGCTTCGGCACCGGACTGGTGGCCTCGGGGTTCTGGTTCCATGTGCTGCCGGCGGCCACGGTGCCGCCTCTGGTGGTGATGGCCTCGGTGGCGGCGCAGCTCGTCAGCCTCATCGGCCTCAGGCCCCGCTTCGACTGGCCCCAGGCGGCGCCCTATCTGATCGGCGGCATCCTCGGCGTGCCGCTGGGCGTGATGGCCCTGGCGGCGGCCTCGCCGGACCTGCTGCGCACGGCGGTGGGCATCTTTCTGGTGCTCTATGCCCTGGTGCAGTTCTCCGGCCTCCTGCGCCTGCAGATCGGCGGCTGGGGCGGGCGCTCCTCCGATGCCGCGGTCGGCATCGGCGGCGGCATCATGGGCGGCTTCGCCGGCCTTTCCGGGCCGCTGCCGCTGATCTGGCTGCAGCTGCGCGGTGGACCTGCCACCGGCCAGCGCGCTGTCTACCAGCCCTTCAATCTCATCGTGCTGGCCACCGCCTCCGCCGGCATGGCCCTCGGCGGCCAGGTCGACACCGCGGTGCTGACGGCGCTCTTGTTCTCGGTGCCGGCCACGGTGGTGGGCGCCTGGACGGGCGCGCGGCTCTACCACAAGGCCAGCGAAAGCCTGTTCCGCCGCGTCGTGCTCTCGCTGCTGCTGCTCTCCGGCGTCATGCTGGTGCTGCAGAGTCTTGGGCGCAACGGCGTCTTTGGCTAGGCTGGTTGGCTAGGCAGTCAGAGGGAGAGCCATGCGGCACAACGGTGGATGTCACTGCGGGGCCATTGAGGTCACCTTCGAAAGCGCGATCGCGCCGGAGGCGATGGAGGTGCGGGCCTGCCAGTGCAGCTTCTGCCGCAAGCATGCGTCGCTGGCCGTCTCCGACCCTGCCGGCCATCTCCGCATCACCCTGCGCGACCCCACCGCCGTCCAGCGTTACCGCTTTGGGTTGTCCACTGCAGATTACTTCCTCTGCCGGCGCTGCGGGGTCTACGTGGCCGCGATCCTGGAGGAGGCGGGGCAACACTATGCCATCGTCATCGTCAACGCGCTGGAGGAGGCCGGGCGCTTCAGCCAGCCGCCGCTTGCCGCCGACTACTCCCACGAAGACGAAGCGGCCCGCCGCCGGCGCCGGCGGGAGCGCTGGACCCCGGCGGTGATCGAAGCGCCCTGAGGGGCCCCAAACGCCGGCATGCCGATCCCGACCCGGCTGACATCCACGATCTGCGGCGCAGGGACTGCCTGAAAGACGGCGCACAGCCATTGGGGCGTGTGGGCTGTCAACGCATGTGGGCGGCCCTCACCGCAACGTGATGGCGGCCGGCAGCGGGACGGGCTTGACCTCTGACTGCGTCCCCGGTTATAGAACGAACGTTCAAAAACGGAGGCTGCCGTGGCCCGGCCGCGCGAGTTCGACAAGGAAGAGGTGGTGGCGGCGGCCCTGGGGGTGTTCTGGCGCCAGGGCTATCAGGCCACCAGCGTGCAGGACCTGGTGGAGGCCACCGGCGTCAACCGCGGCTCCCTCTACGATACCTTCGGCGACAAGCACGGCCTCTTTCTGGAAGCGGTGGAGCACTACCGCCGCCGCTTCACCGGGCGTCGCCTGAGGCGCCTGGAAGAGCCGGGTCCGCTGCGCCCGAAGCTGGCCGCCTTCTTTGGCGACGTGGTCGAGTTTTCGGTCGGGGAAGGCCGGCTGCTCGGCTGCCTGATGACCAATGCCGCCATCGAGATGGCGCCGCACGACCGCGAGACGGCGCTGGCCGTCGCCGCCAACATGGGCAGCATGGAAAGCGCATTCCGCCGTGCCCTCACCGCCGCGCAGAAGAACGGGGAGCTTTCAGCCGACAAGTCGCCGCGCGACCTCGCGCGCTTCCTGACTGCAACCGCCAACGGCCTGCGCGTCATGGCCAAGGTGGCGCCGGAACGGGCGGCCTTGAAGAGCGTCGTACGCATCGCGCTGCAGGCGCTCGATTGATTTTTTGGGCCTGTTATTGAACGAACGTTCCAGAATTCCCATTGAATGAAGTGCACAAACCCCAATCAAGGAGACCCCTGAAAATGTTGAAGCCGCGCGAAGCCGCCCCCGAGATGTCCTTTCCCACCATCGACGGCGAAACCTGGACGCTGTCCGAGCGCAAGCCCCAGAGCCTGTCCATGGTCGTGGCCTACCGCGGCCTGCACTGCCCGGTCTGCCGCGGCTACCTGAAGGAGTTGAACGACCGGGTCGGCGAGTTTGCCGAGCGCGGGGTCGAGGTGGTGGCCGTCAGCAGCGACGGCGAGGAGCGGGCCCGCGCTGCCAAGACCGATTGGGAGTTGCCCGATCTCACCCTCGGCTATGACCTCGGCATCGAAGACGCACGGAAGATGGGGCTCTACATCTCCACCAGCCGCGGCAAGACCTCCATCGGCATCGAGGAGCCGGCGATGTTCAACGAGCCGGGCCTTTATCTGGTCAAGCCGGACGGTACACTCTACTCGGCCTTCATCCAGACCACGCCCTTCGCCCGCCCGAAGCTGGAAGAAGTGCTGAAAGCGGTCGACTTCATCAACGCCAACGACTATCCGGCCCGCGGCGAAGCCTGAGGGCGCGCCTGGGGATCAGCCGGTCGGAACCGGACGGGCTGTCACCCCCCTCCCGACCTCCCCCCATTAAGGGGGGAGGGGTTTTGTGACAAGCCTCAATGGATTTTCCCTCCCCCTTGATGGGGGAGGGGTAGGGTGGGGGTGAGCCACAAGCCCGCTGTGTACCCGCTTGCCCCTCCGCCTACTCCGCCGCGTACTTGGCGACCAGGGCGCGGGCTTCGGCCAGCAGGGCTTCGCCGTCCTTGCCCGCCTCGGCCATGGATGCCAGCCAGGTGTCGACCACCGGTGCGGTCGCGGCCTGCCAGCGGGCCAGCTCTTCGCCCTCGATCACATGGAAGCTGTCGCCCAGCTTGGCGGCGGCTTCGCGCCCCGGCGCCTCCGCCTCGTCCCAGAGCCGGCCGATCTTCTTGGCCAGCGGGATGCCGCTGTTGGCGTCGATGACCCGGCGCAGATCTTCGGGCAGGGATTCGTAACGGGCCTTGTTCATGGCGAAGAGGAAGACGGCGGTGTAGAGCCCGCGCTCGCCCCCCACCTCCGTATGGCTCTGGGTCAGCTCGTGCACCTTCAGGGGCAGGGTGACCTCGTAGGGCAGCATGGTGCCCTCCACCACGCCTTTCGACAGCGCCTCGGGCACGGCCGGAACCGGCATGCCCACCGGCGTCGCGCCCAATTCCTTCAGCGCGATGTTGGTCAGCCGTGTCGGCGCGCGCACCTTCAGCCCCTTCAGGTCCTCCAGGCTGCGCACCTCGGTGCCGCGGATGTGCAGGGTGCCCGGCGCATGGACGTGGACCATCAGCGGATGGACGTCGGCGAACTCGGCACGGGCGTGCTTCTCGTAGAAGGCCTGGGCGGCCTGGCTGGTGGCTTCCGCCGAGGCGGCCATGAACGGCAGTTCGAAGACCTCGATGGTGGGGAAGCGCCCCGCGGTATAGCCCGGCAGGGTCCAGACGATGTCCACCACGCCGTCGCGCACCTGATCGTAAAGCTGCGGCGGTTTGCCGCCCAGCTGCATGGCCGGATAGATCTCGATCTTGATGCGCCCGCCGGACTCGGCTTCCACTTTTTCCGCCCAGGGCGCGATGAAGTCCTTATGGGTGGTGGAGGGCGGCGGCAGGAAGTGGTGCAGCCGCAAGGTCACCTCCTGGGCCACAGCCGGACCTGCGGCAAACCCCAATCCGGCAATCATCGCCCCGGCAAGCCCTACAGCCAGCGCCCTGCGCCGGCCCCCAGTGGTCTTCTCCCCGGTCACCTTCTCCCCTGTCGTCTTCAGCATCTCACGTCCTCCCTTTCGGCCCCTTCGGCCCATCTTCTTCGCGCCACCGACGCGCCTGAAATGGCTTCTAGCCCGCAATGACTTCGGGGACGAATGACATAGAATGAGGCGCCGGGCAACGGAGTCCGCGGCATCTTGAGAGCACCCGCCGGTGGTGCGGCGGCCTCCGGTCAAAACATGGATGAGGACGGGGAGAGGCAATGAAGCTGCACAACTACTTTCGAAGCTCCACCTCCTACCGGGTGCGCATCGCGCTGGCACTGAAGGGCTTGGCCTACGACTACGTCGCCTACCATCTGCGCAAGGGCGAGCAGCGCGGGGCGGCCTACTTGGCGCTCAACCCCCAGGGTTTGGTGCCGACCCTGGAGACCGACGGCGGCGCGCTGCTGCCCCAGTCCCTGGCGATCGTCGAGTATCTGGACGAACTGCAGCCCGATCCGCCGCTGCTGCCAGCGACGCCGCTGGAGCGGGCGCGGGTGCGCAGCCTCGCCTATGCCGTCGCCTGCGACATCCATCCCGTGAACAACCTGCGCGTCCTGCAGTATCTGGTCGCCCCGCTGGGCCATGATGCCGCCGTCCAGGGCGAGTGGTTCCGGCACTGGGTGGCGGTGGAGTTCGCGGCGCTGGAGAAGCGTCTCTCGGAGGAACCCGAGACCGGACGCTTCTGTCATGGCGACCGCCCAGGCCTTGCCGACATCTGCCTGGTGCCCCAGGTTATCAACGGGAACCGTTTCGACTGCGACATGACGCCCTATCCGACCATCCGGCGTATTCACGAGGCCTGCATGGCGGTCCCGGCTTTTGCCGAAGCGGCGCCCGAACGCCAGCCGGACGCGGAGACCTGATTCTCTGCTGCCTATGCCCGGAGTCTCTTACGAATACACTGCCTTCACGGCACAGAATCCTAGTCATCCCTGGTGCCGGCAGCTTAGAATGCTCGCCCAATAACGAAATTCGGATAGATGGAGAGCGCCGCCGATGAAAGGTGACAAGCAGGTCATCGCGCACCTCAACAAGGTGCTGAAGAACGAACTGACTGCGATCAATCAGTACTTCCTGCACTCGCGGATGTTGAAGGACTGGGGCGTCACCCGGCTGGCCGAGCACGAGTACGAAGAATCCATCGACGAGATGAAGCACGCCGACAAGCTGATCGAGCGCATCCTGTTTCTCGAAGGGCTGCCGAACCTTCAGGATCTGAACAAACTGATGATTGGCGAGAACGTCAAAGAGATCCTGCAGTGCGACCTGAAGCTGGAAGAGTACGCCATTCCGGACCTGCGTGAGGCGATTGCCCACTGCGAAAGCGTCAGCGACTATGTGTCGCGCGAGATCTTCGTCGACATCCTCGAATCTGAGGAAGAGCACGTCGACTGGCTGGAGACCAATCTGGGCCTTATCGAGAAGATGGGCCTGGAGAACTTCGTCCAGCACCAAAGCGGCCACGACAGCGGTTCGTGAGCGGGGCCGCGGTCTTCGGGGCCCTGTGTTCGGGGCCATCTGAAAGGCTGACGCGGCGCCTACTTCGCCACTGACCCTTGAAGCCTCCGGCCATGGCCTCGTCCCCTGGCCGGGGTTTTTGCCTTGCTGAGCGGGAGAAGCTGGCCTTGAGGCGGGGGTTCGGCCGCAGGCGTGGTACGCGCCGCATTCCGGCTTCCGCTTCTACGCCGATTCACCAACCACTGAAGTACGGCGGCGAGTTGACCGTCCGGCAGGTTGCGCCAGAGGAACATCGCGAAGGCGCTACTCCGCCGCTACCCGGGCGGCGGTATGCACTTCGTCGACGATTTCCTGGGCGCAGGGGATGCAGGTGCCGCAGCAGGGGCCGTTGCCGAGCGCGGCATAGGCCTCGTGGGCGCAGCGGACGCCGCTTTCCGCAATTTCGCGGATCTCGGCATCGCGGTAACCGTTGCATATGCAGACGTACATAAGCTCCTCCGACGCCTGAGTATCGTGCGAATGATAATGATTGTCAATCGCGTTGATGAGAGTAAGATGCCTGCATTAACAGGGGATTGAGGGGGGAACGGAGGCCAGCGGCGATGGCCGCAAGACCCTGACTTTCCACAGTAATTGAGAATGAGATTCAGTCGCGATCACTGGCGGCGTGACGAACGCTCGGACAATCAAATCGGGCAATCAAAGCAGAAAGGGGAAACACAGATGAGACTCTCCGGAACACTGGCGGCGGCAGGCCTGGCGCTGATGCCGGCTGTCGCTCTGGCGGACGGCCATGCAGGTGCAAAGGTGGCGGTGCTGGAAACCTATGCGGATATCGCCCACGCAGGTTACGAGGATTCGCTGATCACCGCGCGGGACCTCCAAAAAGCGGTGGACGCTTTGATCGCCAATCCAACCGAGGGCAGCCTGGCCGCGGCGCGCGACGCCTGGATCGCCGCCCGGGTGCCCTACCAGCAGACCGAGGTTTTCCGCTTCGGCAACGCAGTGGTCGACGACTGGGAGGGCAAGGTGAACGCCTGGCCGCTCGACGAGGGCCTGATCGACTACGTGGACGGCGGTTTCTATGGCACCGAGTCCGACGAGAACCCGATCTTCACGGCCAACGTCATCGCCAACAAGACCCTCAAGGTGAACGGCGAGTCCGTCGATGCGTCGGTCATCACCAAGACCTTGATCGCAGACGTGCTGCACGAGGCCGAGGAGGTGGAGGCCAATGTGGGAACCGGCTATCACGCCATCGAGTTCCTGCTCTGGGGTCAGGATCTGAACGGCTCCGGCCCCGGCGCCGGCAACCGTCCGGCCAGCGACTTCAGCACCGCAAACTGCACCAACGGCAACTGCGACCGCCGCGCGGCCTACCTGAAGGTCGCGACCGACCTGCTGATCGACGACCTGGAGGAGATGGTGGCGCTTTGGGATGAGAACGGCCCCGCTCGCAAAGGCCTTGTGAGCGGCAACCCCGAGGCCGGGATCACCACCATGCTCACCGGCATGGGCTCGCTCTCCTATGGCGAACTGGCGGGCGAGCGCATCAAGCTGGGCCTTATGCTGCACGACCCGGAAGAGGAGCATGATTGCTTCAGCGACAACACGCATTACTCCCACTTCTACAACCAGATCGGCATCACCAACGTCTATCTCGGCACCTACAAGCGGGTCGACGGCAGCGTGGTGAGCGGCCCCAGCCTGTCGGACCTGGTGGCGGGCAAGGACTCTGCCGTCGATACGGAGATGAAGGAAAAGCTGGGGGCCGCCCGCACGGCCATGCAGGCCATGGTGGACCGCGCCAAGACCGTCGAAGCCTATGACCAGATGATCGGCGAGGGCAACGCCGAGGGCAACGCGGTCATCGAGACCGTGGTGCAGTCGCTGACCACCCAGACCAAATCGATCGAGCGGGCGGTTGCCACGCTCGGCCTGGGACAGATCGCTTTCGAGGGCTCCGACAGTCTCGACGATCCGCAGGCGGTGTTTCAGTAAGACAGAGGCGCAACGCACGTAGAGGCGGCCGCCACGAGACTGGGGCAGGGGCGGCGATCGGACAGCTCGCATCATGATCAGACCTTCCCTCTCCTTTCTCGCCTTGATCGCCATAATGAGCGGGCCGGCAGGTTCGCTTGCCGGCCCGACGCCCGAGGAGGCGGCGCGTATTGCGGATGTCATCCGACCGACTGCGGATTTCACCCGCGCCGAGCCTTTCGAGGCGCTGCCCGCGGGGGCGGCCACTTCGAAGAAGCGAAGTCTCGACACCAATTCCTTCTCACAGCATTCCGGAAACATGGACTTCGAGCGGCAGCTCGATTTCAAGCTCGGCAACGCGCTCTTCAAGCGACTCTGGGTCTCTTCGCCGGCCTCCACGGACTCGGCCGACGGTCTGGGACCGTTGTTCAACGCCCGCTCCTGCCAGCGCTGCCACCTGAAGGACGGGCGCGGGCACCCGCCGGTGGCGAACTGGCCGGATGACTCGGCTGTTTCCATGTTTCTGCGCCTCAGCATTCCGCCTGAGACCGAAGAACAGCGTGCGGATCTGGCTGCCAACCGCCGCAACGTCATCCCGGAGCCGACTTACGGTGGCCAGCTTCAGGACCTCGCCATCCAGGGCCACGCCGCCGAAGGCAAGATGCACATCGTCTACGAGGAAGAGCCGGTGACGCTGGCCGATGGAGAGGTCGTGAGCCTGCGGAGGCCGACCTACAGCATCACCAACCTGGGCTACGGGCCGCTGCATCCCGAGGTGATGATGTCGCCCCGGGTGGCCCCGCCGATGATCGGGCTCGGCCTGCTCGAGTCGATTGCCGAAGAGGACATCCTCTCCTGGGCCGACCCGGACGACGCCGACGGCGACGGCATCTCCGGCCGCGCCAACCGTGTCTGGGACAAGGAGGCCGGCGCGGTTGCCCTCGGGCGCTTCGGCTGGAAGGCGGGCGAGCCCACGATGCTGCAGCAAAGCACCCATGCCATCAACGGCGACATCGGGATTTCCGCGCCTTTGGCGCCGGCACCGGCCGGCGACTGCACGGCGGCGCAGAACCTTTGCCTGGACGCGCCGCATGGAGCCTCTGCCCGGCACGAGGGCTTCGAAGCGTCCAGCGAGATGCTGCGCCTCATCACGTTCTACAGCCAGAACCTGGCGGTGCCGGCACGCCGCAACCCCGAAGATCCCCAGGTCCTGGCTGGTAAGAAGGTCTTCTACGAGAGCGGCTGCATCGATTGTCACCGCCCGAAGTACGTGACCCAGCGCGAGGCGGTCGGGCGGGAGCAGTCGTTCCAGCTGATCTGGCCCTACACCGACCTGCTGCTGCACGACATGGGCGAGGGCCTGGCCGACAACCGGCCGGAAGGGCTTGCCAACGGGCGGGAGTGGCGCACGCCGCCGCTCTGGGGTATCGGGCTCACAGAAACGGTAAACGGCCACACGCAGTTCCTGCACGACGGCCGGGCGCGCAGCCTGCTGGAGGCGATTCTCTGGCACGGCGGTGAGGCTCAGGCGGCGCGGGACCGGGTGGTGGCGCTCGGCACGTCGGAGCGCGAGGCGCTTCTGGCATTCCTGAATTCGCTCTGAGGGGAAGGGATGAACCGGCAAATGAGTCCGTCCGTTCGAAGACTGTCGGCTTTAGCAACAGTGGGGTTGGCGGTCTCGTTCACGGCCCCGGCTGCTGCCGACGACTTTGCCGCGCTGAACGAGGTTGTCGTCGCCGACTATCTGCTGCCGCGCTACGAAGCCCTGGCCGACGCAGGCAGTGCCCTGGACGCGGCCCTGCGGCAAGGCTGCGGTGCGGGAACCCTCGGGGCTGATGCCAGCATCGCCGCCTATCACGAGATGGCGGATGCCTGGATGGCGGTTCAGCATCTGCGCCTGGGGCCCAGCGAGTTGTTTCTGCGCGCCGACCGCATACAGTTCTGGCCCGACAAGCGCGGCATTACCGGCCGCCATCTCAGCAGACTCGTGACCGAGGCCGATCCGGCCGCGCTGGAGCCGCAGCGCTTCGCCCAGGGCTCGGTTGCGGTGCAGGGCCTGCCGGCGCTCGAGCGCCTGTTCTTCGCGCCGCCGGAAGGTGCCGATCCCGCCTTCGCCTGCGACGTGGCGGTCGCCATCGGGGCCAATCTCAAGAGCATCGCCGGGGGAATGCTGGACGACTGGCGCGAGGGACCGACGCCCTATGCAGCTGTGATCAGGAGCGCGGCCGAGGGCAATGCCGCCTACATGGACGCCAAGGAGGCGAGCCTGCAGTTCGCCAAGGCGCTGCGTGCGGCTCTGGTGGCAACGACGGACCTCAAGCTCGACCGTCCGCTCAGCACAAGCGCCAAGGCTGTAAAGCCGCGGCGCGCGGAATCCTGGCGCAGCGCGCGTTCGCTGCGCAACATCAGGATCAACATCGAAAGCGCCGAAGCCCTCTACAGGGATGGCGGGCAGGCCGGCTTTGCTGCGCTTCTGCGCCGGCAAGCCGGCGGCGAAGAGGTCGACAAGAACATCGCGACCGCCTTTGCCCAGGCCCGCGCCCGGCTTGACGCCTTGCCGGACTCGCTGCAGGCGGCCCTGGATCAGCCCGAGGGCTGGCAACATCTCGATGACCTGCGCAGTCACCTGCGCGATCTTCTCGCGCTGCTGAGCGGGCCCTTCTCGCAGACCCTGGACCTGCCCCTGGGGTTCAACAGCTTTGACGGCGATTGATGGTGATGGCCATTGACCGGCGCAGTCTGCTGGCCGGGGCAGTCGCTGCTCCGCTGGCTTTGTCTGTGCGCCCAGCCCGGGGCGCGAGGCCGGTGCGCGTCTTCGTCAGCGCCTGCGGCGATGCGGCCGGGCGCTTTTCGGTCAAGGCGGTCGCTGCGGACGGCCGCCTGCTTTCCGACCTTCAGTTGCCCGGGCGCGGCCATGCCGCCGCGCGGCGGCCCGGACGCGACGAGGTTGTCGTTCTGGCGCGGCGCCCCGGGCGCTTTGCGCTGGTCATCGATCCCTTCGCCGGCGGCATCGTCCGGCAGATCGAAGCGGCCCCCGGGCGGCACTTCTATGGCCATGCCGTCTTCAGCCCGGACGGCCGCCGGCTGTTCGCGACCGAGAACGCCTACGCCGAAGGCCAGGGGGTAATCGGGGTGTACGATGCCGCCGCGGGCTACCGCCGCGAGGACGAACTGCCCTCCCACGGCGTCGGCCCCCATGAACTGGCGCTGCTGTCGGACGGGCGGCGTCTGGTGGTTGCCAACGGCGGGATCAGAACCCACCCCAACAGCGGGCGGCGCAAGCTGAACCTGGAAAGCATGCATCCGAACCTCGCCTACGTCGATGCCGGAAGCGGCGCTTTGCTGCAACGCCTGACGCTGCCCGGCGATCTGCACCGGCTGTCGATCCGCCACATGGCCGTGACCGCCGAGGACCAGGTGTGCCTGGCGCTGCAAAACGAGGGGCCGCGCGACCGCCTGGTGCCGCTGGTCGGCCTGCAGCGGGACAGCGCCCCGATCACTCTGGCGAAGGGGCCCGAGGGCGTTCTGCGGCGCATGCGCCACTATGCCGGCGGCGCGGCGCTGGATGATGAGGGCGGCGTGCTCGCCGTCTCCGCCCCGCGGGGCGGCCTGATCACCTTCTGGTCGTCGCAGGAGGGGGGCTTCCTCGGCAGCCTTGAGGTGCCGGACGGCTGCGGCCTCGCCGCAGCGGGCGGTGCCGGTCGCTTTGCCGTCTCAAGCGGCGCAGGGCGCTTGTTGATCTACGATGCGGTCAGCCGGCGGTCCGAGACCCTGCGGGACGACCGGCGCCATGGGCTGGCCTGGGACAACCATCTGCTGGCGTGCTGAAGCGGGAGGCCACGGGGAGGCCACGGGGAGGCCATGGGGCGGCCGTTCGGGCCGATTCGGGGCTGCTTTCCTTTGGGCCCCCGATCCTCGGGAGCCACGTCCTTCCCATCGGGGCTAAGTGCTGCTGCTTTCCCAGAGTGCAATGCAGAGGCCCGAGAACAGCACCGGGCCGCTGGGCGCCGCAGGGGCTGCGCCGCTGCTTTCCAGCGTCACCATCAGCGACTCCGATGTCTTCACCGCGTTCCAGGCGTCCTCATCCAGGGGCCGGCCGGCCCGATCGTCGCCGGCCAGTTGCAGCAGGGGACGGATCGTGCCGCTGCCGCGCTCCACGGCCCAGATCTGGAAGACTTCGGCATCCGGCCTTTCCAGCGGGCGAACCGGCTTTACCGAAAGCCGCCAGGGGCCCTTGTAGGCGGTCACGACCAGGGCGGGTTGCTCGGCCGCGTCCTCCAGCACCGCCACATAGCTCGGCAGCACCTGCTCGGGCGCCGTCGCGGCGATCTGCTGCTGCTGTTGCTGTGCTGGTTGCGAGAGGATGAACCCGGCATAGCCGCCGACCAGCACCACCAGCACCGCCGCCGCCGCGCCAAAGGGGCGCCAGAAGGCAAGGCTGTCCCAGAAACTGGAGCGTTCAGCCTCGGCCTGCGGATCGATCCTTTTGCGCAGGGCGCGGAACACGCGCTCCGGCGGTTGCCGGGGCGGGGTGTCTTCGGTGAGCGGCGTCAGCCGATCCTCCCAGGCCTCGACCTTGTTGCGCAGCGCCGGGCGCGTGCGCATCAGGGTCTCAAATCGCCGCCGCGCCGGGCCCTGCAGGGCGCCGACCACATACTGGCTGGCGAGCGCTTCCTGCAGCTCCGGGTCGTCGTACCTCATTGATCCAAACACTCCCTGACCTTGATCAGCCCGCGGCGGATCCAGGTCTTCACGGTGCCGACCGGGCGTCCAATCCGGTTCGCCACCTCCGTGGGTGTATAACCCTGGTGGTATGACAGCAGGATGCAGTCCCGCTGTTCTTCCGTCAGACCGGAGAGACAGCCCAGCACGCGCTGCATCTCCTGGCTTGTCTCGGCCTGGGCCGCTGGGTTCTCGCCGCTCATTCGCCGGTCCTTTTCAGGACTCCATTCCTCTTCGGCGGCGCGATAGTCAGCCTTGCGCAAAAGATCCAGCGCCTGGTTGCGAACAACGTTTATCATCCAGGTCATCGGCCGCCCCCGGCCCGGATTGTAGCTGTCGGCATAGCGCCAGATCTTCATGTAGGCCTCCTGCAGAGCCTCCTCCGCCCAGGCCTCACGTTTCAATATACGAAAGGCGATGCCGAAGAGTTTCGCAGAAGTGGCTTCATAAAGATCCGCAAAGGCTGATTGGTCGCCCAAGCTGCAACGCGAGAGCAGGAGACCCAGTCGTTCCGAGGACTCGAAGCTCGCCTTCGGCTTCATTACGTTTACCCTAAAATAAGCGGGCCGCTCCGGCTTGCGGTCCGGCTGCCAGTCCTTGAAGTATGGCTGGCCGGGCCAAAGAGATCGACCACCATGTGCGCCGCACCCCGAAGGATCCGGCGGCGGCGGTCGATTTCAACGCATGCTTGGGGATTGCTGTCGGCCAGAGTGCACCCATGACGCGGCGACGTCGGGCAGGATCATAACGGCCGATTCGCCTGTCGAACCAGCATCAATCCTGCAAAGCTGGGTTGCGGCGCGGTGCTTGGAGCGATTTGGGCTTGGAGCGATTTGGGCTTGGAGCGTTTCGGCCGCCGGACCTCTCGGCATATGCCCGTTCTGCTAGAAATACTTTACAGTCCACACTCGCTAATCATATTGATCAGACATACTGTTGAAACAAACTATCCGTAACGTAAAGCTCATTACTCTGTTACACTAAGTTAAGGTCTGACGAATATTTTTTGGGTATTCATTGGCGAATTTCGTGGCGTCAGCTATACCCGAAGCCTAGTGGCTTTGGCATATAATACGGTGCGATTCGTGGGGTTTACCTAAGCAGACCGGCAGCCTTCCGCGCCGGGCGATTTGGATCATGGGTGTCAGATGACCGGGCTTTCTTCAGCTGCACCTCAGGGGGCTTCGTCCTCGCGGCTGACCAGAACCCGACGGCGTGCCGCACGCCGTCGCCGCGGCCTCCTGCTTCCGATCCTCATGCTTGCTGTGCTCACGCTGATGGCGGTTGCCTTTGCGCTCTACTGGGGTGCGCGGGAGCTCAACGACAGCCAGGCGCAGGCGCAGGAGTCTCTCGTTTCGGCCAGCCTGGATGCCCGGCGCGAGGCCTTCCGCCATCTGGTGGTGGACTATGCCTGGTGGGACGAGGCGATCTACGTTCTCGATGTGGGGCTCGACGAGCGCTGGGCGCGGGAGGAACTGGGCGCCTATCTGCTGGAGGCCTTTGGTGTCACCGGCATCTGGGTTCTTGGGCCGCAGAACCAGACAAAAATCGCTTTCCTGGACGGCGAGCCGTCGCGGGTGGATCTGTTCGATCAGCTGCCGGCGACGGTAAACGGGCTGCTGGACGCGGCCCGCCTGGGCCGCAGCATAGAAGCGGTGCCGCCGGCTGGCTTCGTTGTCGTCGGCGGACGCCTGCACATGGTTGGTGCCAGCATCATCTCGCCCTTTGCCCAGGTGGGTGACCCGCCCAGTCCGGAAACCGCGTCCCTGCTGGTTTTCATGCGCCCGCTGGACCAGGATTTTTTCAGCGCGCCGAGCCTGGCGAGCTTTCTGAAGGATGCCGGCTTTGCCGAAGGCCCGGCGGCCGAAGGGTTCCTGGATCACGAGATCCTCGGGTTCGACGGCCGGCCGATCGGCTGCATCTACTGGCGTAACCAGAGGCCGGGCGATGATCTGCTCTGGGGCGTCGCGCCGCTGCTGTTGGGCGCGCTTCTGGTTTTGGTCTTTCTTCTGGTGCTGACGGTACGACGGGTCGAGGCAGTGGTGTCGCACGAGGGGCGGCTTTCAGCCTCGCTCGATCATGAACGCCAGCGGCGCGAGGACAAGTCGCGCTTCGTTTCCATGGTTTCGCACGAGCTGCGGACACCGCTGCAGGCTGTGGGCGCCGCCGCGGACGCCCTGGACCGCTATGGCGGCCGCATGGGGCCCGCCGAGATGCGCGAGGAGGTGGAGACCATCCGCCGCGGTGTCGATGCCTTGGCTGGGCTGGTTGACGATGTCCTGCTCATCGGGAAGGTCGGCGGCGAGGGCAAGGTGCAGTCGATCGATCTGGCCCATCTCTGCTCGGCGGTCTGGCGAGAAGTCTCGACGGCTCTCAAGGCGCACCAGGAACTGCGGCTTTCGGACCGGATCGGCGCGCCGATTGAAAGCGGCGCCCAGGTCATGCTCCACACGGTTCTGTCGAACCTGCTGCAGAATGCGGTGAAGTACGCGCCGGAGGCGGAGGCGGTCGAGGTCACGCTGTCCAAAGGGCAGGGGCGCTATGAGATTTCGGTCCGGGATTTCGGGCCGGGTGTCCCCCGCGAAGAGCGCGAGGCCGTGTTCGAGCCCTACTGGCGTGCCGATCGCGTGCTGGAAACCTCCGGCGCCGGTCTGGGGCTGTCGGTTGCGCGGGCAGCGGCCCGTTCGATCGGCGGCGATCTGACCATCGAATCCGATGGCCTGGAGCGGGGAAGCCGATTCGTTCTGCGCTGGCCGTCCTGACGGCGCATCGTCCTCGCTGCCGCCCTCGCCGCTTCTGACGTCCCCCAAACTTGCGTTCGTGCCGGCATCGCGCGTGCCATGCCGACCCTGTTGACCCCGTTCCCTGTTGACCCCGTCCCCTATTTCGCCCCCTCACCAGTCGCCCTGTATCCGCGCGCGACCAGCAAGTTGCAGGAAAGTAACGTCAAGTTAACACTGATGGTAAATTCATTTTCCCAAATGAATTACGAATGACACGTTATGGGTGCATACGCGTTCAAAGTGTGCTCCCTCATGACACCGCTTACCACGCCGCCTACTCCTAAACCCGCACAATTCTGGGATTTTTGGGCAAGCCAGGCTCCCTGGCAGGTGAATCGTAGTCGATTCGTCTACGAATCTACCGCCTTTGCTCACGTTTAGGTTGTCACAGCGAAGTGAGTTGACGTACTAGTACAAATAATCAGAAATACTTAGGCTTTACAGCTTGACCCTGGATTTGATCGTAGGTTGACCGCCAGGCTGGGCGTTGGATCGAATTTTTACCATCTTTACGAGAGATTTTCCTTTGTCGTCTGCGGTACCTATAGAATATAATCACTTCGGGGTCATGGAATCATCGAAATGTAGGGTGAAATGATGCTTGCTCACGAAACACCAGTCGGGAAGGCTAGGCAGGCGCATCCCGTCGACGTTCATGTCGGCGGCCGCGTGAGGCTTCGTCGCGTCTTTCTGGGATATTCACAAGAAAAGCTGGCCAATGCGCTCGGCCTGACATTCCAGCAGATTCAAAAGTATGAGCGCGGAGCCAACCGTATTTCAGCGAGCAAGCTCTATGAGCTGTCTCGCATCCTAAGCGTGCCGGTCACCTACTTCTTTGAAGGTGTGGAGTCCGACGGCGAGGCGGTGGCGAACGGCGCCGACGCTGCGGCCGGCGGGGCCGGGGCTATTCATTCCTCTGATCCGGATTTCACCAATCAGCGGGAAACTCTGCAGTTGATCAGCTCCTACTATCGGATTCCGGACTCCAAGGTCCGCGCCGAGGTGCTATCCTTGTTGAAGACCTTGGGCAGAACGTCCGAAGGCTGAGCGTTTTCGACAGATCCTAGGGAGGGCATGGGGGACCTCGCGCAAGCGGCAATGGGTTGCCTCCCGCGATCGCGGGTCGCCCGCCTCCGCAAGGTGGCGGCCTCCGACCTTCTTTCTGTGCGCTTAGGCTGGCGCACTGCCCTGGCCGGTCAAGGCGGCCGGCCTCCTCATCGCGGCTTGTGGGGTTCTTCTCTCACGACGGCTTGGCGGGATCGGTCATGACCGGCCTGCCGATCGATCAGGTCGATGCCCTCAGCAGGGTGAAGACGACTGAGGAGATCGGCGGCCTTCTTCAGGGTTTGGTTGAGGCGCTCGGTTTTGCGGCCTACTCCTACGTTCATGTCCGACCGCCGCTGGGCAAGCGCATCCGCTCCTTCGTCCCGGCCGATTCGCCGAACGGGCGCGTGGTGCACGAGTTTCTCGCCACCTTCCCGGATTCCTGGATTGGGCACTATCTGGCGCGCGGCTATGGCGATATCGATCCGACTTTCCTTGCCGCAACCGGCACCACGCTGCCGTTTGACTGGCTGACCCTGACCGCACGGGGCGACCTCAGCAGCGGTCAGCGCCGGCTGTTGAACGAGGCCGAGGATTTCGGCCTGGGCCTTGGGGCGACCGTACCCATCCACGGTCCGGACAGCGGACTGTCGACCCTCAATGTTACCGCCCGCCAGGCCCAGCCGGCCTTCGAGGGAACATATCGGCAGTCCCGCCATGACCTCGTCTGGATCGCCGCCCAGGTTCACGAGGCTTTTCTGCGGCTTTCACAGGACGCGCCGGAAACGCAGCGCGTGCGCCTTACCGACCGCGAACGCGACTGCCTTTTGTGGACGGCGCGCGGGAAGACCGCTTGGGAGGTCGGCCAGATCCTCTCTATCTCCGAAGAGACGGTACTGTTCCACCTGAAGAACGGCACCCGCAAGCTGGGCGTCTTCTCAAAGCATCATGCCGTCGTCAAAGCGGTCATGAGCGGATACATCATCCCCTAACCATCTGATTTCAATAAGGAAGCGTGCTGCGCGGGGGGCGTTGCCCCTCCCGGCAGCTTCCTGCTGCGGGTTTCTCCCCCCCATTTCTGGGGGGCTGCGGATCGCATCGCGGCGCGCTGAAATCACGGCGTATTCGGGGCCTTCGAAGCAAGGCCTGCCGGGATCCGAAACCAGGGGGGGACCGCGCCGTGATCGACGTTGTAACGCCGGATTTCTACAGCGCTTACGCCAAGGATCTGAGGGCGATGTTTCAACAGCGCTTCCGCGTTTTCAGGCAGCGGCTGGGCTGGGACGTTTCTTCCGAGGCGGGTGAGGAGCGCGACGGCTTCGACACGCTCTATCCGACCTACCTGCTTGCCAGCGACCAGGACGGCGCGCTCGTCGGCAGTTGGCGGTTCCTGCCGACGACCGGTCCCTACATGCTGCGCGATGTTTTCCCGGAGCTCCTGGAAGGCGAGAAGGCGCCTTATCATCCGCTGGTCTGGGAGGGCAGCCGCTTTGCGGTGGAGGGCCGCAGCACCCGCGGGCGCACCAGCAGCGAGCTGCTCTGCGCGGTGACCGAGACCTGCCTGGCGATGGGCATCCGCGAACTCATCACCGTCTACGACGCCAGGATGGAGCGCCTGCTGCCACGGCTGGGCTGTCCGCCGCGCCGGCAGTCTGAAGGCAGACGCATCGGCAAGGAAATCGCCTTCGCCGGCCGCTTTGACATGACCCATGCAACGCTGGCGAACCTGCGCGCGGTTGCCGGCATTCGCGGCTCGGTCATCCGCAACGCCTTCGCCCTGGAACAGCAGGCCGTCGCCTAGGCCGGGACGGGACCCGGGTGCGGAGCCAGACACTTTGATGAGAGACTTTTTTGGAGAGTGCAATGAGTAAGAATGAGATGCCGATTGAGCTGAGGCTCTGCGATCCTCTTCAGGATGCCGAGGCCATCAAGCGATGCCTCGATTACCTGAGGATCGAAGCCAAACGCACAGGGCTTTCCTTTGCCGCCCACCTGATCGGAGTCGCTGCGGAGGCCGTCGAGGACTCGATCGCGCTGACCGAGAAGTCGGTGGCTCAGGTGGAGCGCAAAGACGCCAAGCCGGTGCCCGACGTTTCCAACGTCCCATCGACGCAGCGCCACTAGACCGGCGCGGCTGCCGCTCCGCGCCCTGACTTCCCATGCGCCGCCCGTCCGGCGCTTTTCATCCGGCGTGTCGGTCACGCTCCGGAAAGCGGACCGCTCGTCCGCGGACTGGCTGGTGACGGCGTTTCACGCCCGGGTCCGGACCAACAGGAGATCTGCACCATGAGCCTTGTCGTCGATCGTTGCGAAGGGTTTGGAGATCTTGACCGCGGGTCCGCCGTTCCGGCCTTGAAGGGACTGCCGCTGCTGGGCCTCGCGCCGGCACTGCGCCGCGATCCGCTGCGCTTCTTCACGCGGGTGGCCGCGGACCATGGCGATGCGGTCTGGTTGCACCTGGGACCGGACCGGGTCCTGATGGTGAACGACCCAGCGATGATCCGTCACGTTCTGCAGGACAATCGCCCGAACTACGTGAAGAGCCGCTTCTACGACATGATGCGGCCGGTTCTGGGCGAAGGCATCTTTCTGGCCGAGGGCGATGACTGGCTGGGGCAGCGCAAGACCGCGCTGCGCAGCTTTCAGGGTTGCCAGCTGCGCCGCATGACCGCGGCGATGCAGGATGCGGTCGACGACATGCTGCAGCGCTGGCAACTGCCCGCGGCCCGGGGCGAGGCGCTCGACGTTGTGCCGGAGATGATGCGGCTGACCCTGGACATTCTGATGCGCACCCTGTTCTCCGTCCGGCTGGACGGTGACCACGAAGAGGTCTTTCAGGCCATGACCGTTGTGCTGCGCGACGCGGAGCGCCGCGTCTGGTCGCCGTTTCAGATGCCCCGCTGGCTGCCGACGGCGCGCAACCGGTCGGTGGCGAAGGCGCTCGCCGTCCTCGACCGCTTTGTCTACACCATGATCGCAGAGCGGCGTCGCGCCGGCGCAGAGGAACGCCGGGACAGCGAAGACGCAGGCGGCGATCTGTTGGACCTGCTTCTGGCCGCGCAGGGCCAGGACACCGACAGGAAACTGCGAGACCAGATCCTGTCGATGGTTCTCGCCGGTCACGAGACCACGGCCAATGCCTTGGCGTGGTGCTGGTACCTGCTGTCCCTGCACCCGGAATCCCTTCGCCGCGTCACGGCCGAGGCGGAGGCTCTGCCCGCGGGGCGCCCGCCGGCCTTCGCCGAGCTGGCCGGGCTGACCTATACGCGCTGCGTCTTCGACGAGGCCTTGCGGCTTTATCCTCCGCTCTGGACCTTCTCGCGCACGGCGCTTGCCGAAGACGAAATCGCCGGGCTGCCGGTTGCGGCCGGGACGAACGTCATGCTGAACGTGTTTGCCGTCCACCGCCGGCCGGAGCTTTGGGACAACCCGGAAGGCTTCGATCCGGCGCGCTTCGATCCCGAGACCGGCGACCCGCGCCGCCGCTTCGCATACTTTCCCTTCAGCGACGGACCGCGCAGCTGTCTTGGCGAGCGCTTTGCGGTTCTCGAATCCCTCATCGCCATCAGTTCGGTGGTGCGCCGCTTCGACCTGCACCTGCTTCCGGGGCAGGACGTCAGGCCGGAGCCGATGATCACGCTCAGGCCCCAGGGCCTCAAGATGCGGCCCTTTGCACGGACGGCTTAGGGTTATGCCCGCGCCCGTCTTGGTGATCCTGATCTATCTGATCGGGTTGGGTATCGTTTATCCGGCGCTGCCCTTCCAGGCCCTGGCCTTGGGAGCGAGCCCGCTTCAGGTGTCGATGATCCTGGTCACCGATACGGCCATGGTGCTGCTGCTGGCGCCGCTGTTCGGGCGCCTGAGCGACCGCTTCGGCCGACGCGGCGTGACCTGCCTGGCACTGGCGACCGCCCCCTTTGCCTATCTCCTGATGGCCTATGCCGACTCGCTGCTGATGCTCTTTGCGGCGCGGGCCCTCGCAGGCGTCAGCAACGCGGCGGTGCCGGTGATCCAGGCGCTCATGGCCGACAGCACCTGTCCGAAGCGCCGCGTGCACGGGATGGCCAACGTGAATTCCGCCTTCGCCCTCGCCTTTATCGTCGGGCCGCTGCTCAGCCGCAGCTGGCTGCTGGGGCCAGAGGGCGACGACTATCAGGCGGGCGCCCTGGGTGGCGCGGGCTTTGCCGTTTTGGCGGTTGTCCTGGCTGTCCTCCTGCTGCGGGAGGTCCGCCAGCCGGGGCAGGCCGGAGCCGCTGTCCGGTTCGCCAGCTCGCGGGCAGGCCTCCTGAAGGTTCCGCAGAGGCTGTTTCTGGCGCCTTTGCTGTTGGGGCCCATCGTGATCATGGCGCTTCTGGCCTTCGCCTATGCGGCGATGGAAGCGACGCTGGGCCTGTGGTCGGACCGGGTGCTCGCGTGGCGCGCATCCGACGTCGCCCTGGGGTTCATCTGCGCCGGCGTGGCCGCCCTGTTCAGTCTCTGGGTTCTGATTCCGCTGCTCTGCCGGCGCATCGGCGAGGAAGCCGTCGCCGCCGCTTCGTCCCTCGCCATGGTCTTCGGCTTGTTGCTCTTCGCCTTCTGGCCCGGCGACCTTGCGATTGCCTTTGCGATGATGCTTCTGGGCGCCGGCGTTGCGACGAGCCTTTCCTGCCTGCAGGCTCTTCTGTCCAAGGCGGCACCGGCTTCGGCGCAGGGGGCGGTGCTGGGCGTCAATCACGCCGTTCTCAGCATTGCGCGCATTCTGGGGCCGATCTGGGGCGGGTTTGCCCTCGGCAGTCTCGGGACAAGCTGGCCGCATCTCTCCGGCGCCGTTCTCGTTGTCAGTGCGCTGATCGCCTTGATCCTGCTGTACAGGCCGCGCGCGCAGCCCCAGGCACAGCTCCAGCCCCAACCCCAGCCTCAACCCCAGCCCCAGTCCCAACAACGTCAGACATCCCTGCTTTGAGAGGAGGCAAAGATGAACGTTGCCAGTTTCCTCGATGCCACTGCCACCCGAACGCCGGCGGCAACGGCCGTGGTCCACGACGGCAGGCGCTACAGCTACAGGCAGGTGGTGAGGGAGGCCAACAGGGTTGCCAACGGTCTGCAGGCCGAAGGCTTCGGCCCCGGCAGCCGCATCGCCCTTGCCTGCAACAACAGGCCCGGGTTTCTGGCCGCCTACTACGGCATCCTCAAGATCGGCGCGGTTGCCGTCGTGCTCAGCACGACGCTCAGAGAACGGGACATCCGCTTCCAGCTTGAAGACTCCGGTGCCGAGGCCCTGCTCTGCTTTGAGGGTTGCGGCGACCGGGCCTATGCCGATGAAGCCCTGCCGGCAGCCGATGCCGCGCCGCACTGCGCCAAGGTCTGGGTCATTCCCGCCCGTCCCGAGGCAGCCTCTACGGTGGCGGGCTATCCCGCCCTTGCCGATCTGACGGCCGGTCAGTCAGACCGCTGCGCCACGCGCAGCTACGCAGCTCAGGAGACGGCCGTCATCCTCTACACCTCCGGCTCGACGGGGCGTCCCAAGGGCGTCGAACTCACCCAGTCGAACCTCATCGAGATGGTGCGGATCAACCGCGGCCTCGCGGCGCCGGCGGCCACCGCCGTGCGGCTGGTTTCGACGCCGCTGTTCCACGTGATGGGCCAGATCTGCGGCATGAACCTGGCGGTTCTCAACGGCGAGACCATGGTGCTGGTAGAGCGCTTCGATCCCGCCCTGATCTGGCGCCTCATTGTCGAAGAGGCGGCGACCTACTTCGTCCATATGCCGATCTTCTACCGCTACCTGCTGGAGCGCGCTGATGCGGTGGACACTGCCGCGGTGCGGCGCAGCCTGCGCCTCTGTGCGACCGGTGGCGCGCCGCTGCAGGACGATCTCCGCACCGCCTTCCAGGCGCGCTTCGGTCTCCCCCTGGTTCCCGGCTACGGCCTGACCGAGGTGACGTCGATCGTGGCCTGGGGGGCGGATATGCCGCTGCCACGGGCAACCACTGTCGGGAAGGTGGTGCCCGGTGTCGAAGCGGTCGTCGCCGACGGGGCCGGCAGGGCGCTGGCGCCGGGTGAGGAGGGCGAGATTCTGGTGCGCGGGCCCGGGGTGATGAAGCGCTACCTCAATCTGCCTGACGTGACAGGGACCCGTCTCAGGCACGGCTGGTTCCACACCGGCGACATCGGACGCTTCGACGGCTTCGGCCGGCTCGACGTTCTCGGGCGCGTTGACGACAAGATCCTGCGCGGCGAGGAGCATATCTACCCGGCCGAGGTGGAAACGGCGCTCAAAGGCCATCCGGCGGTCCGCGAGGCGGCGGTCATCGGGATTCCCGACGACGTTCTGGGTCAGGAGGCGAAGACCTTTGTGGTGCTCAAGGAAGGCTGCGCCCTCAGCGGCGGCGACCTGCTCGGCTGGCTGGCACGGACGCTGCCCGACGGCAAGTGTCCGGGTCTGCTACAGTTTCAAGAGAGCCTGCCGCTGACCCCGACAGGCAAGGTCGCGCGCCACCTGTTGCGCTAGCGCTCCCGGCGGCTGGCCGGCGATGCTAACGGATTGTACACCATCGCTGGCTAGCCTGCGGTCCGTATACCACTTCCGTCCGTCCGCACCCGTCATCCAGACAGGGCATCATGGTAAACCGCAGCTTTACCGTCCGAGGGAAAGAGCGCCGCCGCGACCGCCGCCGGCGGCTTCAGCTTTCCGCAGAGATCGACGGCCATGCCGTCTCTCTGGTGGACATTTCCATTGCCGGCTTCGGGGCTGCGGTCGATGCAACGGACCGGGCAGCGCCAAAGCTGCCGCTCGGCCACCGCGGGCGGCTCGACATCTGGCTGTCGGATGGCCGGCGCATGCGCCTGGAGATAGAGATCGGGCGCGAGGTGGGCCCGGACGGCATGTTTGGCGGCCGCTTCCTCGATATCTCCGACGAGAACTTCCGGCTCATCGAAGCGATCCTGCTGGGCCGCGAGCATCTCGTCTAGAACGGATCCAGCAAGCCCGCTTCACTCTTACGGATGGAGCGGTGCGTTTTCCTCACACGGTTCTCGAAGAGGGGCATGACGGCCGGTCACGCTGTCTTTGACAGCGAGCCTGTCGAACCGGCTCAGTCGGTCTGCGCGACCTGGGTCGGGGCCGGTGCGGGCTTGCGCGAATAGAAGATGTGGAGGCCGATCTTGGGGCCCCGCACGAAGGCCTTGCGCCAGGACGGGCTCACATAGTCGGCGTGATACCAAAGCGCACCGCCAGTGTTGTCGCTGACACGGCCCCAGTAGACCTTGCTGGCCAGGCGCTCGCTCTCGGCCCAGGCGGTCATGTCGGTGACGAGATCCTCCTTGCCGTCGCAGTACCAGGAGAACTGGCACTTGTGCAGCACCTCGGCCGTGCCGTCGCGCACGACGTCGCAGACCGTCTCCGGGAAATTGCGGGAGGCGACGCGGTTCATCACCACATGGGCGACCGCCAGCTGGCCTTCCAGCGGCTCGCTGCGGGCCTCGAAGTAGATGTTCTGCGCCAGGCAGGTCAGCTCATCGCGCAGGTTGCCCGGGTCGGGCGTGTAGACGCTGGCGAGCTGCTCCTCCAGATCCAGCTGGCGGAGACCGACCTGGCGGATAAAGAAGAAGTCGGGGTCGATGTCCTTGACGTCGACGGGAATGAAGCTCTGGGCGGTCACCCGGGTCCAGGCGCTCTCTGTGCTGTCGCTGGTCGCCACATGGGCAAGCGCGGCGCCCGCGATCACACAGGCGATGGGTGCCGACACCGCAGAACAGACCGCCCCGGCGGAAAGACCGCGCAGGTTGAAGCCCAGCTTCGCCCCGGCTTTCACCCAGCCCCGGCGCGCGCGGGCAAGCCAGCGCTTCCGGTTGGGCCACCGAGGGGCCGATATGGCTTCACTGCGACTCATTGTCTGTCCTGTACCCTGTGAACGCGGCGCGGTCTGCGCTCTGTCGTGGTGGGGCGGGCGATGGTTTACCGAAGGCCGTGCTTCGGCCTCTCCCTTCCCTTGTACGCTTAACCGCTAGTAAAGGTTTACACAATCTTAACATCGCATATCAAGAACTTTCGCCAAAAGTTTGAGATAAATTTGCCACATTTTCTAGTAAAATTAACTATTAATGCCGAATATCTTTGAAAACAGCTTTGTATTGATGAGAAAGAAAATTTCGTTCTGAGTATTTTTATTTGGATAAGAAAACTTTTTCTCGATTTTCTGTGTTGGTATTCTGATATTGCTGAAAGGATAACTAAACAAACGCCTGGCGATTACATCACCTTTCGCCAGCGCAAAAGAGGACTCGCGGCGCAATCTACTGGCCGCCGGCCTGCCGGATCTTTCGCCCGGGCGAGGCGTTAACCATTGAATATTGGAGTCTGAAACAACCGTAGCGCCGCCCGGCGGGCCGGTGGGCCTCTGTGTCAACCGTAGGGCGCCCGGGAAGGGGGCGCAGGCGCAGGCATTGCTGGTTGACGGACGTGGTTAAGAAAGGGCGCGCCGGGCAGGCGTGCTGGACGATGGGGCGCTAAACGAGGGGGGCTCTAAACGAGGGGGTTGGGGCGCCGCGCCCAGGGAGCCTTGTGGATACCGCATTCGGTCTTGGCGCTGCCCTGCCAGCGCCCGCTGCGGGAAGCGCCCTCAGGGCCCCCGGAGGGGGCCGTGCAGGGCGCGCAGCCGATGGAGGCATAGCCCTGGTCTGTAAGCGGATGGGCCGGCAGGCCCCGCGACTCGAAGGCCCGGCGCAGCTCTGCGGAATCCCACTGCGCCAGGGGGTTAACCTTGATGCGGCCGGACTCGGCCTCGAAGACCGGGATCTGGCCGCGCAGGCCGCCCTGGAACCGCTTGCGGCCGTTGATCCAGGCACTGAAGCCGCTGAGGGCCCGCTCCAGCGGCAGCACCTTGCGCAGGCGGCAGCAGAGGTCCGGGTTGCGCCGCCACAGGGTGCCGTCCGCATCGGCGCGGGCAAGATCCTCGGTCGCCGGCGTCACCGAGCGCAGGTCTGTCAGTCCCAGCCGCTCCGCCAGGCGGTCGCGGTAGGCGAGGGTCTCCGGAAAGTGTTTCCCGGTCTCCAGGAAGATCACCGGGGTCGCGGGGTCGACCTGGGCGACGAGGTCCAGCAGCACAGCGGACTCCGCGCCGAAGGACGACACCACGGCGATGCGTCCGGGAAAGACATGCTTGATCGCCGCTTCCAGCACCGTCTCGCTGTCTACCTCGCTGGCGGCGGCGCCGTAGCGCAGCTCCAGAAGGCGGGCGCGCTCCTGCAGCCGCAGGGCCCGGTCCTGGTTGGCCGCGGGGCGAACCGTCAACGCCGATCTGCTCGTCCGTGAGGCCAGCACTCTTGCGACTCCCCGGTCCAGGCTCTTGCCCGAGCTCTGTGACTTGCGGCGCTACTCGGCAGCAACCGCGCGCGAAGATCGGAAGCCGGCGCCGAGCGCGCCGCTGGGCGCACGGCCGTCTGCAGTCGGCTGGTACCAGATCTGGATTTCCTCGATGGCGTCCTTCCAGGCCGCCGCGGTCTTCTCGTCCGCCACCGCGAAGCTGTCGAAGCCACAGCGCAGCATGAAGAAGAGCTGGTCGCGCAGCACATTGCCGACGGCCCGCAGTTCGCCCTTGAAGCCGTGGCGCTCCCGCAGCAGGCGCGCATAGGAATAGGCGCGTCCGTCGTTGAACTTCGGGAACTCCAGGGCGATGAGGTCGAAGTGCTTCAGGTCTCCAGCGATGTCTTCGGGCGGCTGGTCGCTGGCCAGACGCAGGCCCAGGCGGCCGTTGCGGCGCAGCAGCGCCGCGCGCTGATCGCGCCACTGATCCAGCGTGACGATCAGGTCCACCTCCAGAGAAGGGGTCTCCGTCGGCGCGGTTTGGCTGTCGTTTGCCGGCGCGTCGTCTGCCGGTTCGGACGTCTCGGGGAGGTCGGACCAGGGGTCGTCGGCGATCCGTCCGTCTTTAAGCAGCGGCATAGAGCTTCTCCTTGAACGGCGCGATGCCGACACGGGCGTATGTATCGTTGAACTTCTCGTTGTCCTGGCGCAGATCCAGGTAGGTCTCGACGATGTTGTCGACGGCATCGACCACCGCGTCGTAGGAGAACGCAGGGCCGACGATCTTGCCGACGGCGGCGTTTTCATCGGCGCTGCCGCCCAGGGTGATCTGGTAGAACTCCTCGCCCTTCTTGTCGACGCCCAGGATGCCGATGTGGCCGGCATGATGGTGGCCGCAGGCATTGATGCAGCCGGAGATCTTGATCTTCAGATCGCCGATCTCGTGCTGGCGGTTGAGGTCGCTGAAGCGCTGGGTGATGCGCTGGGCGACGGGAATGGAGCGGGCGTTGGCCAGGTTGCAGTAATCAAGCCCGGGGCAAGCGATGATATCGGAGACGAGACCGATGTTGGGCGTGCCCAGGCCGTGCTGGACCAGCATCTCCCAGACCTTGGCCAGATCGCTGAGCTTCACGTGCGGCAGCACCAGGTTCTGTTCGTGGGTGACGCGGATCTCATCGAAGCTGAACGCTTCCGCCAGGTCGGCCACGGCGTCCATCTGCGCGGCGCTGGCATCGCCGGGCGCCTCGCCCTCGGGCTTCAGCGAGATGGAGACGATGGCATAGCCGGGGACCTTGTGGGCGGAGACGTTGCTGCGCACCCAGCGGGCGAAGTCCCGATCCTCGAAGCGCCGCGCCTCGAAGCCGCGGTCACTCTCCGGCAGGTCCTCAAAGGCCGGCGGGGCGAAGTAGCTCTCGATGCGGGCGATCTCCTCGGCCGGCAGGGTGAGTGCGCCGTCTTTCAGATGCGCCCATTCCTCTTCGACCAGGCGGGTGAACGCCTCGGCGCCGGTCTGCTGCACCAGGATCTTGATGCGCGCCTTGTAGAGGTTGTCGCGCCGGCCGAGCTGGTTGTAGACCCGCAGGATGGCCTCCAGGTAGCTCAGCAGGTGGGCCTTGGGCAAGAACTCGCGGATGGTGGTGCCGATCACCGGGGTGCGGCCCTGGCCGCCGCCGACGATCACCTCGAAGCCGACCTTGCCGGCCGCGTTGCGGCGGACCTGCAGGCCGATGTCGTGGAAGCGCACAGCGGCGCGGTCGTTGGGCGCACCGGTGATGGCGATCTTGAACTTGCGCGGCAGGAACGAGAATTCCGGGTGCAGGGTCGACCACTGGCGGATGATCTCGCCGTAGATGCGCGGGTCCTCGATTTCGTCGGCGCTGGCGCCGGCGAAGTGGTCGGCGGTGACGTTGCGGATGCAGTTGCCGCTGGTCTGAATGGCGTGCATCTCGACCTCGGCCAACTCCTCCAGGATCTTCGGCACGTCTTCCAGCTTCGGCCAGTTGTACTGGATGTTCTGGCGCGTGGTGAAGTGGCCGTAGCCGCGGTCGTAGTCGCGCGCGACGCTGGCCAGCCTACGCATCTGGCGCGACGACAGCGTGCCGTAGGGCACGGCAACGCGCAGCATATAGGCGTGAAGCTGCAGGTAGAGCCCGTTCATCAGGCGCAGGGGCCGGAACTCTTCTTCGCTCAGTTCACCGGAGAGACGGCGTTCCACCTGTCCGCGGAACTGGGCGGTGCGCTGACGGACAAAGGCCAGATCGAATTCGTCGTAGCGGTACATCGTCTTGTGTTCCTCTCGCCCTAGGCTTCCGCCACCAAGGGGGCTTTACGATAGTCGGCGCGCACGGTCGGGCCGGCGGCACGGATGGTCTCCCGGGTGGACAGCGGCTGCAGGATGCCGTCCACCTCGGTGACCTCGACCAGATAGGGGCCGACGATCTTGCGTGCGGCCACGTCGGCCTCCGCACGCTTCAGCAAGTCGTCCTGGGCGGCGCTGTCGTTGCTGGTTACGGCTTGGTTCAGCCAGGCCGTCCACAGGCCGCTTTCGGTGAGATAGACGACATCGCCTTCGCGCAGGCGGTTGGCGGTGACGGCTTTCAGAGGCACAGGTTTCTGGGGCATCGCTGTGATCTCCGTCAGACGGCCAACGCTTCGGGCAAGCGCCGGG